AAAAAAAAAAAAGTCAATATAATGAAAAGCAAAGTACGTTGGAGGAACTGTACTCATATTAAAGGAAACTAAAAAGAATTGACAACTAAATGCAATGCAGAATGCCAGATGATATCCTGGACCAAGGGAAAAATTTGTCATGAAGGACATTGTGGGGCAATTGGCAGAACCTGAATTTGGACTGTCGATTAGATCATGGTATTACATCAGTCTAAGTTTCCTGATTTGGATAATTGTACCATGTTATGTAAAAGAATGTTTTTGTCTTAGAACACTTGCACTGATGGGTGTAAGGGTAAAGGGGTATTTTGTATGCAACTTACTCTCAAATGGTTCAGAAAAAAATACAAACGTGTATTTATAGAGAAATAACGATGAAGTAAATGTCAAATGATATTAGTGGATGAAGCTGAGTGAAGGGTATCCTGGAATTCTTTTTAGTATTCTTGCCCCTTTTCTATGAGTTTAAACGTATTTCAAAATAAAAAGCTAAAAAAGGAAAGAAAGTGGTGCTGGTGAAGTGTCTTCCCCAGTAGCGTAAGGTGTTCAGGTGCACCGGCGGCAGCCATGAGTGCCTCAGCACCAGGGAGAGCACAGCCGCCGGTCACACCTTCTGCCACCCCGGGCTCTCAGTTCCCTGTGCTATTACAGGAACTCGCTGTGTGGTTGACCCCAAAGTTGCCCTGGGTTGACTCAAAAATGTAGGATGAATATTCTGAGGCAATGAATTCTCTTTTGTTATTTTATTTACTCCAATTTTGCATTCTGACGGGCGTTCCCTGCATCCCAAGGGCCTCTGCAGTGGAGGGAGGCAGAGATGGAGGAAGTGAAAACTACCCAAATTCAGTGTTTGTTACAGATAATCTAGACTGCAAAATTTAGGGTAGACCATGTTCACTTATTACTGATAATGACACTCTTAACATTCCCTTACAACAGGAAGATCAAGGTTTCCCCAAAACCAGCCAGCATCTTGCCCATTCCCCAGAAGGAGAAAAATATGTCCTGGCAAGAGCAAAGATAGGACCCAGAAGCCCCCTGAGTTCCTTTTCCCAAGGTGAGTGGTTTCAAATTATGACAAGTTGCAGGTTCTCTGAGAAGCATCTGTAATAACCTGGGGGAAAAAAACCTGCTTAACCTGGTGGTTTATGCATCCTCTCCTGGGAGGAGGAATACGGAACTCTCTAACCACCCCACATCTGTTTCCAGGTCCTGCCCCTCCTGGGGCACAGGGGCAGCCACCTTGTAATTCCCATCCCTAGAAAGGAGAGACCGGATCAACAAACAGCAGGGCTAGGCCTGCCCCGGGGGTTCCAGGAGTCCTTCTCCCCTCCTATCACCTGCCCTCCAGGCGCACTGTCCTACTTCCCCCCACTTCCCCAGGGGTTGTCAGGACAGAAGGCCCCTCCTTCATCCCCGCTAGTGTTCCTCCACTCTTCCTCCGCCCCCCCATTACTAGGGTGTCCAGGACATTGTGTGACTCAGGAAGCAGCTCAGACGTGAGGCTTGCAGCAGGCCAAGGAGGAGGAAGAAGGGGCAGTGGGAGCAGAGGAGGTGGCTCCTGCCTCAGTGAGGGCTCTGAGGGTCCCTGCCTGAAGAGGGACAGGGACCGGGACTTGGGGAAGGGGCTCTGGAATGCAGTCCCCTTCACTGCTGCTGCTGCTGCTTCTGCGTTTCTCAGTGGTCATAACCAGAGGTGAGGCATGGTATGGGAGAGGTGGGGGACCCACCTCCTTTAGGAGGATGTCCAGTGGGCTGGGGGAAGAGGGCCAAGCTCCAGGCTGTGTGAGGGATGCTGGATGGAGGAGATTCTCACTGCCCAAATAGTGAGGGCCTGCAGGGAGAGACGACTCTGCCCCTGGAGCTGCTCTGGGCCTGGTGCCAGGGGTGGTGACTGCTGGGGGATGGGTGAGAGGGTGCCCAATCCCAGGAAGAGCCTCATCAGCACTGGCACTGAGAGGACTCTTGCAGCCATATGGAAGAGGGGAAGAGGGACCACACTGACCACCTGCTTGGGGAAGAGATGAGAGGGAGGCAGGAGATAGGGACATGAACAGTCAGGCCCACTGAGTCCCTTTCTTAGTCCAGCTGTCCCCACCCCCCGGATGGCTCAATGCTGGGCCTTTCCGGGAGGAAATCTCTTCGAAGTCTCAGCCATTCACCTCCCAGGAGCCCCCTCCACCCCCCTTCTGACCCCTGTTGTCTTGCTTCCGAGGGATGGAGTCTGAGGCTGCACTTGGGAGGCCAGAGAATAAACAGGAAAGGGAGGTGGGGATTAGTAATTGGGATGAAGGGCGTTGGGGCTGGGACTGGGTACCATGTGGAGAGTAGGGACAGATATGAAGAGGTGGTTTAGAGCACCTGTGGGAGCTGCTGTGGGCAGGTCTCTCAGGAGCACCTAGAGAAGGAAGGGTGGATTGGATAACTATGATGTTCTCTGGGATGAAAAAAAAGAGAGAGAGAGAGAAGGAAGGGTGGAGGCAGAGCACCCAGTGCTTCCAACGCACCTCCCTCTCCATCCCCAGGGCTGCAGTGTGGGAGTTTCCCGGAACCCTGTGCCAATGGAGGCACCTGCCTGAGCCTGTCTGAGCGACAAGGGAACTGCCAGTGAGTGTGCCTTGCAAAAGTGGGAGACTGGAGAGAAAGGGGGAGGGAGAGCAAAAACGGAGAGGTGAGGAAGTGAGACCAAGAAGAAAGGGAGGAAGTGAAGGAGATGAAGGGAAACAAATGAAGGCAGAGAAGGGAGGTGGGCGAGAATGGGGAGAAGATCTAGTGATGTGAGTTTCCTTCTCCTCCCCTGCCCAGGTGTGCCCCTGGCTTCCTGGGTGAGACGTGCCAGTTTCCTGACCCCTGCCAGAACACCCAGCCCTGCCAGAATGGAGGCAGCTGCCAAGCCCTGCTTCCCGCTCCCCTAGGGCCTTCCAGCTCCCCCATTCCATTGGCACCCAGCTTCTCATGCACTTGCCTCCCTGGCTTCACTGGTGAGAGATGCCAGGCCCGGCTTGAAGACTCTTGTCCTCCCTCCTTCTGTTCCAAAAGGGGCCGTTGCCACATCCAGGCCTCAGGCCGCCCACAGTGCTCCTGCATGCCTGGATGGACAGGTAAGCGCCGCTGGGGAGGCCAGGAGGGGACAGGCAGGAGCAATAGGCTAGGCTGTGGGTGGGAAAGATGGAACTGCAGACTGAGAAACTGCAAGCCCTTTGAAGACAGAAGCCATGAGAATCAACATGCCAATTCTTGGCAATCCACTTAGCCATGACCGACATTCGCCAGCATGATTGTACTGACTGCTAAGATGCTAAAATATTTCCAGATTAAGGATGCCATGAGCCCCCCTTTGTGCACCATCCTGATTCCCATCCTAGCCCCCTTAGTCTCCCCACTGCCTGGCAGCTAGACAGTCATTGCCTGGTGTACCAGGGGCCTCCAGGCTTTTGTATTCGGAGCAGCTGAATGGCTCCCATTCCAAGTGGAGGGAGCCCATAACATCACCAAGAAAGACTGCAGTGGTGGGAGGGGCACAGGGAAGGGAGGGATGTGACCCAGAGAGTGGAGTGGGGGCCACCCCAGGAGGAGGGATGCAAGCTTCGTGCTTCAGACTAGGGGCTCTGCAGCAGCCCCTGGGTCCAAATGCCAGCCCTGCCACTGACCAGCTACGTGACCTGGATCCAAATGCCAGCCCTGCCACTGACCAGCTACTTGACCTGGGTCCAAATGCCAGCCCTGCCACTGATCAGCTACGTGACCTTGATCCAAATGCCAGCCCTGCCACTGACCAGCTACGTGATCTGGATCCAAATGCCAGCCCTGCCACTGACCAGCTATGTGACCTGGGATAAGACATTTTAGCTGTCTGGTGCTCAGCTGTCAGCTGACAAACAGGGAGAGTAATGTTCACACTTCATACGGCTGCTGAGAGGACACCAGGGGCCAATGCTCAGGAAGTGCTTGCTCAGCTCAGCACCCAGCACCTCCACTGCCCTCCATTACCACTGGTGCACATGGGCTGTGAAGTGAGTCTCCAGGTGCCTCAACGCACTTAAAGATTAGGAAATCCAGATCAGAAAGGCAAAGTGACTCACCCAAGGGTATACAACCAGTTATGGCACAGCAAGGTGCCACCTGAGTCTCCTGCCTGCAGACATGGGGTGCTTTTCACTTTCCCCAAGATCACCGACGTCCCAGATTTTCTCAGGCAAGGCCAATTTGCAATACTCCCATCATCACTTTAGAAGATGTGGTCACTCCAGATAAACCCTCCTAAGGCAGGGCAACACGGAAATCAGGGGTGAAGAAACAGGGCAAAGAGAGTCTGGTAATAAAGGGAAGGAAATATGAAAACTAGACCCAGAGAGAATCCAGAGTGAGCACTGGGTCATCTCAGATGGGCTAGAATTTGTACAGTGCTAGAAACAGCTCCCTCTGTCCTCTGCCTCAGGTGAACAGTGCCAGCTTCGGGACTTCTGCTCAGCCAACCCATGCGTTAATGGAGGGGTGTGTCTGGCCACGTACCCCCAGATCCAGTGCCGCTGCCCACCTGGCTTCGAGGGCCACACCTGTGAACGTGATGTCAACGAGTGCTTCCAGGACCCAGGACCCTGCCCCAACGGCACCTCCTGCCATAACACACTGGGCTCCTTCCAGTGCCTCTGCCCTGTGGGACGGGAGGGTCCACGCTGTGAGCTCCGGGCAGGACCCTGTCCTCCTAGGGGCTGTTTGAACGGAGGCACTTGCCAGCTGATGCCAGGGAAAGACTCCGTCTTTCACCTATGCCTCTGCCGCCCAGGTGTGTCCTCACAGGGGCTCTCCTGCCACCCCTCTCTCTGGGCAGGGCACAATGTCTCCCTTGGAGCCTCCTCCCCCAACTGATCCCATGACCCTGTCAGGTTTCATAGGCCTGGACTGTGAGGTGAATCCAGACAACTGTGTCAGCCACCAGTGTCAGAATGGGGGCACTTGCCAGGATGGGCTAGACACCTATACCTGCCTCTGCCCAGAAACCTGGACAGGTGAGTTGTTTAAGCCACATTCATGGCACCCGTGGTCCAGTGAGTCAGCCCCTGGCCTCCTCTACTCACAGGGATCCCAGCTTTAGTCCTTGGCCCCTCCCCAACCCCCTGCAGGCTGGGATTGCTCCGAAGACGTGGATGAGTGTGAGGCCCAGGGTCCCCCTCGCTGCAGAAACGGGGGCACCTGCCAGAACTCTGCTGGCAGCTTTCACTGCGTGTGTGTGAGTGGCTGGGGGGGCACAGGCTGCGAGGAGAACCTGGATGACTGTATTGCTGCCACCTGTGCCCCAGGATCCACCTGCATTGACCGCGTGGGCTCCTTCTCCTGCCTCTGCCCACCTGGACGCACAGGTATGGGGACAGAGGGTATCAGGAGGTGGGAGGTAGAGATGGAGGGTGAGAGAAACACTAGGAGGGCTGCTAGGAGCTTCAAGTGGCCTCTGAGAGCCTCACCCCCTCTTGCCTCTCCAGGACTGCTGTGCCACTTGGAAGACATGTGTCTGAGCCAGCCGTGCCATGGAGAAGCCCAGTGCAGCACCAACCCGCTCACAGGCTCCACACTCTGCCTGTGTCAGCCCGGGTACTCAGGGCCCACCTGCCACCAGGACCTGGACGAGTGTGTGATGGGTGAGGCCACTCCCACTTCAGAGCCTCTCTGAGCCTCAGACAGACCTCTGCACTGGAAACAGAAAAGGGCAGATTGCCTTTCAAAATAAAAAAGCAAACATGTTTTTCCTTGAATTTGCCCAGATTTGGCAACTCTTGCCTACATGACCCTCTCTCCAATGCTCAGCCCCTCAGTCCCCATGAATCTGGACCCTTATTTCCTCTCCATCGTAAAGACAAAAGCCCCTTCCCCAATTTGGTCTCGTCTTCCACACACAGGCCCCCACATCTTCCCTGACAGTCTGACCTTTTTGCCCTTCCCGCCCTGGCCCCTGTGGACTCTCACCTCTTCTCTCCTCCCAGCTCAGGAAGGCCCAAGTCCCTGCGAACATGGAGGCTCCTGCCTCAACACCCCTGGCTCCTTCAACTGCCTCTGTCCACCTGGCTACACGGGCTCCCGTTGTGAGACTGATTACAATGAGTGCCTCTCCCAGCCCTGCCACCCAGGGAGCACCTGTCTGGACCTACTTGCCACCTTCCACTGCCTCTGCCCACCAGGTACCAGCTGGATGGGACCTTGGGTGGGGGAAACAGGGAACTATTCCTGAACTCACTAGGAATCCCCCCTAAAGTAGGGACAGCCTCAGGCTGGCTGGGGTAAGTTATCGCAGGTGCTTCTGTCTCTACCCCAAGATGAAAATTCAGGGACACCCATGACCCCTCGGAGAGGGCTTGCCACAGATGGTAGTGAGGTTATGCATTTCTCTACCCTGAAGGGGCTGCCATTCATTCCATAGTCATCATAGAGACGGCACAACCTGGTCCACTGTGCACAACAGCCCAGCAAGAGAGGGCAGAAGAGCAGTTCATAAACTCCGTGCTGCAGCCTGCTCAGGTCAACCCACATGTTCCCCCAATCGTAGAAAGTCTCCCATGTAGAGATTGAAGGTAATCCCTTAAAATCCCAAAAGTCCTGTGATACAGCAGGAAAAATTTGGTACAACAAGAAAAACATTGCTGCAATACTGCATCCACTTCCAGGCTAGTTTTAAGGGGGAAGAGTCATCCCAGGGAGAGAGGGACAGAGCCAACATCTAGGAGTTGAATGAAATCGGAAAAATAATAGCTGACTTTATGCCAGGTACTGCCTGAGCTTCTTACAGGCATTATCTCATCTACTCATCACAATAACCCTATGAGGCCAGCACTGCTGCAATGCCCATCTTATAACTGAAGAAACTGAGGCACAGAGAGGTTAAGTGACTTGTCCAAGGTCACCCAGCTAGCAAGTGGCAGAGCTGAAATTCAAACCAAGGGCTTCAATAATTATAACCACGACTCCATATCGCTCTCTAAACTGAGTGGCACCCAAAGATACCGGCTCAGGCCACCCCACAGACAAGCATAGAAAAATAAGAGAAAACAGTAATCCAAGGGACAAAGTTGTGGATATCAAGGAGCTTCAGAACAGACTCCCCAGGCAAGAAAAGAGAGGAATCCAGGGTCCAGAGGTTGATCCCACCTCAGTTCAGTGACAGTTCAGTTCAGTGACAGTGGAGACTAGGATGAACCCAAAGCAACCGGCTAAATATGGGAGCAACACAGCTTCCCAGATGCCCTTCAAATTTAAGCACTTTGGGATCTCCATTCTCCCTGGCATGGAGGCCTGCCCAGGCAGGAAAAGAGGCAGGAATCATCCTCCAAGCTGATGCTCACTTGTCCTATTTGTACCTTGAAGTCCTCCAGGCTGATCAGCCCGTCCCGGTGAGTCCTGCCTCCTGCATACACAGGAATGACCCCCAAAAAGCCTTGCAGTCCTCCTGCAGGTCCTCAGCAGGTGCCCTGTTCCCTGGCCTTTCACACCTGGGAAAGAGCAGGGCCACACACTGCGAAGCTGCAGGGCCTCAGGGTTCACCTTGTTCAACCCCATGCAGACAGCACCTCAGCGGAGGACCGCCTGAGCCGGGCAAGTTGGGAGCAGGGCTGATTCTAGAACACAGGTCTCCCAGGCGGACCTGTTCTGAGCCACATCCCTCATGATACCCATGTCCCCAGGCTTAGAAGGGCAGCTCTGCGAGGTGGAGACCAACGAGTGTGCCTCAGCTCCCTGCCTGAACAACGCGGACTGCCAGGACCTACTCAACGGCTTCCAGTGTATCTGCCCACCTGGTGAGTACAGATTCTGCTCCGGCCACCCTCAGACCCCCGTCCTCTGAACCTGCAGAGCTCAGGCCCAGCAGTCACCCACGGCCTCTTGAAGCCCTCTCTACCCTAGCCGAGTAGTCCTCCAAATCCATCTTTGCTCCCCAAAATCTCTTCTGTTACATCCTCAAATCTTCCCTTGCTGACTCGCCCGTTCTCATCTCTGTCCTGCCAAATCACCCAAAGGTCCCTCCTTCCTGCCCCCCTGCACAGCTCTGTGTACACTCCCCACATGCTGAGGTCCCAGGCTGGTCTTGGCACTCTCATCACAAACCCAGGGACAGCTGCCCCAAGCCTTTCTTCTCCAGCCTCACCGGACACCACTCCTTCCCCTGCTGTGATAATAACTACATTTATTCACCACTTACTCCAGGCTAGCCATTTGGCTGTGTACTTTTCAGGCGTTATGTCATTCAGTCTTTTTAACAGAACCATGAGGTAGGTTCCATTATTATTCCTCTTTTACACAGAACAGGAAACTGAGGCCTAGGGGGCTGACCAGCTTGCCCTAAGTCACACAGCTGGCAGGTGGCTGAGCTTCGCCTTTTCTGCATCACTCTCTGTCGCCCCACGCCCACCTGCCCCAGGTGTCTGGGAAGCTCTGCAAGTTCACCTTTCCTGGCGAGGGAAAGGGCCATGCTGTGCCTCCCTCGATGACCTTGGCCTCCCCTCCCCACCCACTTCCGCCCCACCAGGATTCACTGGCACCCGGTGCGAGGAGGATATCGATGAGTGCAGAAGCTCTCCTTGTGCTAATGGTGGGCAGTGCCAGGACCACCCTGGAGCCTTCCACTGCAAGTGTCTCCCAGGTAAACTGGGGCGCACACTGTGGGGGATGATGGGGATAGGAGGCAGATGTCCATGCAGGTCCCTGACCTTGCTGCTGTGTCACAGGCTTTGAAGGGCCGCGCTGTCAGACAGAGGTGAATGAGTGTCTGAGTGACCCATGCCCCATTGGAGCCAGCTGCCTTGACCTCCCCGGAGCCTTCTTTTGCCTCTGCCCCTCTGGTTTCACAGGTTAGCAGGGAAGGCATTGGAAAGAACTGGCACAGTATTTTATTCCACTTGGGTTGGGGCAGAGTTCATTGGTGGGCGTTCGATGGCTGAGATGTGAGAATAGAATGAGAATGGTAACCTTTGTCGAAGGGTTGGTGGTGCAATGGAGAATGGTAACCTTTAAAGTGATTTAGTGTAAAACCTGCACAATTGTACAATCATGGGGACAAGGGCAGGGGTTACCATAGGGCCCACATGGGCCCAATGTAAATGATGTGATTGAGGCTTGGGAGCAGAGGACAAGACTCAAAGCAAAGGCATTCACTTGCTTATTTAGCAAGCACTTACTAAGTGCCTACTGCGCCAGATACAGAGGCAAATTTGAGGAAAAGAGTTGCCATCTCATGTGATTTTAAGTCTAATACAGAGAGACCAACAAGTCTCCTGTTGATTATAGCCCATGGAGGTGCTCAGAGAATAATGTGCAGGACGTTACAGGGGCACAAAGGACCAGCCAACCCAGACTAAAGATGGGGGAGGTGATGGCTGAGATAAGTCTTGAAAGATGAGCAGGGGCCAGGCGTGGTGGCTCATGCCTGTCATCCCAGCATTTTGGGAGGCCGAGGCAGGTGGATCACCTGAGATCAGGAGTTCAAGACCAGCCTGGCCAAAATGGTGAAACCCTGTCTCTACTAAAAATACAAAAGTTAGCCGTGTGTGGTGGCACAAGCCTGTAATCCCAGCTACTTGGGAGGTTGAGACAAGAGAATCACTTGAACCCGGGAGGTGGAAGTTGCAGTGAGCAGAGGTCGCACCACACAGCACTCCAGCCTGGATAACAGAGCAAGACTCCGTCTCAAAAAAAAAAAAAAAAAAAAAAAGATGAGCAAGTTTGTCTAAATATGGTGCCAGATAGCTCAAGAAAAGCACATCCCATTTAAGGAACTGTAAGAGAGCCAGAGTGAAGGGTGCAGCAAGGCAAAGCTGAGAAACGCAGCAGCTGTACAAAGTCCTGTCCTACAGGACTCTGCACATCATTCTGGGAAGTTAAACAGTGTCTTAAAGGCAATAGGGAGCCCTTGAAGGACAGGCTCATGGGGATTGAGCAAGGCGTGCATAAGAAGTGGCCTTTGGGCCAGGCGCAGTGGCTCACGCCTGTAATCCAAGCACTTTGGAGGCCAAGGTGGGCGGATCACCTGAGGTCGGGAGTTCAAGACCAGCCTGACCAACATGGTGAAACCCCGTCTTTATTAAAAATAATAATAATAAAAATAAATTTTAAAAAAGAGAAGTGGCCTTTGACGCATCAAGAACGTGGAGGAGCTGTTTTCTTTTTGACCCATCTCCCACCCTAGGCCAGCTCTGCGAGGTTCTCCTGTGTGCTCCCAACCTGTGCCAGCCCAAGCAGATATGTAAGGAACAGAAAGACAAGGCCAACTGCCTCTGTCCTGACGGAAGCCCTGGCTGTGCCCCACCTGAGGACAACTGCACCTGCCACCATGGGCACTGCCAGAGGTAACATCTTCCAGGCCCTCTCCATCTGCCCCCTCCTCTGGGCTCCCCTCTCTAGGACAGGAGAAGACAGCCAGTGAGGTGTAGGTCTGTGAGAAATGACCCATGGGAAAAAGGAAGGAGATGGCAAAGTTCTTAGGGCGAGACAGGGGGAGTAAGTGTTATCTGAGGAGAAGAGAGTCCACACGAAATGGGAGAAACAGGGGACCAGGGGTCAGAGCAGAAAGAAGAGCATTAAATCCCAGGTCCAATTCATCATTCATTATATCTGCTGAGGCCAAGCACAGTGCTGATTATGGGGTCACTCCTGTAACCCCATAATTTGGGAGGCCGAGGCGGGTGAATCACCTGAGATCAACAGTTCAAGACCAGCCTGGCAAACATGGTGAAACTGCATAGCTACTAAAAATCCAAAATTAGCTGGGCATGATGGTGCACCCTGTAACCCCAGCTACTTGGGAGGCTGAAGTGGAAGGATCGCTTGAACCCAAGAGGCTGATGTTGCCGTGAGCCAAGATCGTGCCACTGCACTCCAGCCTGGACGGCAAAGCAAGACTCTGTCTTGGAAAAAAAAACATCTGCTGAGCACCTACTTTGTGTGGCTACTGTTCCAGGCCCTGGGGGAACAGCACAAAGCAAAAGAGACAAAGCAACTGCTCTCATGGAGCTTTCATTCTAGTGAAGAAAGAAAATAAGCAAGTGACAGAAATAATGTGTATATATATATATATATATGCACATATCTAGTTGGAGAAAATGAGCAGGTGTGGGGGAGGAAGAGGGTGGTGCTGAGAGCAAAGTCACTGAAGAAAGAGGCCAGAATCTTAGGGCCAAAAGAAGAGGAAGTCATAGGGGTCCAGGCAGTGCGGAGGGGAGCAGATGCAGTAGAAGAGAAAAACCCTCCCCTTTCTCTTTACAACCAGATCCTCATGTGTGTGTGACGTGGGTTGGACGGGGCCAGGATGTGAGACAGAGCTAGGGGGCTGTGTTTCCGCACCCTGTGCCCATGGGGGGACCTGCTACCCCCAGCTCTCTGGCTACAACTGTACGTGCCCTGCAGACTACACAGGTGAGACCCTCCCTAAACCATATACACTCTGTGCTAGTCACCCCCTTAGTCAAGGGCAAGGCAGGTGACCATGGGCCCTGTGTCTCAGTCACCACCAAGGAGAACTGGGCTGCAGGGGACACAGGTGATGTGCGGGAGGTGGTGAGAAAGGAGGTTGATGGGAGAGAATAATAGGGTTGGGGATGAGGAAGGGAAGGAAAAGGAAAGAGGAGGAGAGTGGAGGGAGGGAAGGAGGACACCCTTTCTCAGCCCTCGCCTGTTTCCTTCAGGGCCCACCTGTAGTGAGGAGATAACAGCTTGCCACTCAGGGCCATGTCTCAATGGTGGCTCCTGCAACCCCAGCCCAGGAGGCTACTACTGCACCTGCCCTCCAAGCCACACAGGGCCCCAGTGCCAAAGCAGCACCGACTACTGCCTGTCCGGTGAGTGCTCACAGTGCCGCGAAGCTGGGGGCCACAGAGGATGGAGGAACGGGGGAGGGGATTCTTGTACCATATCTTTTCATTTAATTGGACAGACCAGCCTGGGCAACATAACGAAACTCCATCTCTAAAGAAAAAAATTTGTTTTTAATGTTTTTTAATTAGCTGGGCACAGCGGCTGAGGCCGTAGTCCCAGGTACTCGGGAGGCTGAGGGGGGAGGATGACTTGAGCCCAGAAGGTTGAGGCTGCAGTGAGCTGTGATGGCACTACTGCCTGGGTGACAGAGCAAGACCCGATCGTATTATGTGTATATATCATATAAATAAACAAAAATTAATTGGATGGCAATGAGCTGGCATTTTGATGGGGCGGTGGTGTATGTCCTGTGTGCAGTGTGACTGAAGTCACAGGCCAGGTTACAGGCAAGGAACCCAAACCCTCACAGCCTCCTCTCTCCAGCCCCGTGCTTCAATGGGGGTACCTGTGTGAACAGGCCTGGCACCTTCTCCTGTGTCTGTGCCGTGGGCTTCCAGGGCCCACGCTGTGAGGGAAGGATCCGCCCCAGCTGCGCAGACAGGTGAGCAGGGCACGAAGACCCCTAGAAGGGAGAAGTCCCCTCGGCCTTCCCACCCCTCCTCTCGTCTCCCCTTGGGCTCCAGCTGCCTCCCACCCCACACCCTTCGATCTGCCTTCCCTCCTGGCTCACCATCTCCTAGTGGTTGCCTCCCGACCACATCACATACCTTCCCCTTGTTTCCCAGAAGTTCTCCCTATCTTGCCCTGTCTCTGTCTTGTTCAGCCCCTGTAGGAATAGGGCGACCTGCCAGGACAGCCCTCAGGGACCCCGCTGCCTCTGCCCCACTGGCTACACCGGAGGCAGCTGCCAGGTGAGGACCATTGAAGCCAGGTGTGCTGAGGAGGGAAACCAGGGAGAGTCACCTGCTCCCAGGCCATGCAGGAGAGAATTTTGGAAGTAAGGGATTTTGAGGGGCTGGAGTGGGCAGAGGACCATCTCTGGGCTGGGAATCTGGTGCTATGTCCTGCCTCATGCTCCCTCCCACCCTTCAGACTCTGATGGACTTATGTGCCCAAAAGCCCTGCCCACGAAATTCCCACTGCCTCCAGACTGGGCCTTCCTTCTACTGCCTGTGCCTCCAGGGATGGACTGGGCCTCTCTGCAACCTTCCACTGTCCTCCTGCCAGAAGGCTGCACTGAGCCAAGGTACCAACCCCAGCACTGACAGGAGACCAGATGAAGAAAAAACGGGTGCTCTCCCCTGTCCCGTTCCTGAGGGCATCCACACAGCCTTTGGTCAAAACAACCACCTGGAGAATCAAAACCACACAGACAAATCAGTTCTTGATTGCACAGTTCAACATCCAGACAAGGTTAACACATTCCTGTTACCACGTTTAACACAATTCTAGCAACACCAGCCAGCCCAGTCCACAGGATTCCAGTTTAACTCGACCTTGAGGGACGTGACTCAGCATGGAGCAACTCAACTCTGTCCTGATCATTGTAACCCAAGCAGAGCGGGCCATGCTTAATCCAGCTACACTCAACACGTTTCACCAGCCCACTCACTTCCATGTTACACCAGACTCTTTGTAAAAGAACACTAAGCTTCGATATGAGAAGAGCTTGGGAAAGAGACTGTGATGGAGTTAGGGGATAGCTGATGGGAATCACAGGGAAAGAACATCAGAGGAATGCAAAACTCAGGGTACAGACTTAAGTCACATGTCCTCACCTGAGGCATCCCTTAAATTCTTTCTTGCTCGGCTGGGCACGGTGGCTCACGCCTGTAATCCCAGTACTTTGGGAGGCCATGAGGTCAGGATATCAAGACCATCCTTGCCATGGTGAAACCCTGTCTCTACTAAAATACAAAAAATTAGCCCGGCATAGTGGCGCACACCTGTAGTCCCAGCTACTCAGGAGGCTGAGGCAGGGGAAATCACTTGAATCCGGGAGACAGAGGTTGCAGTGAGCTGAGATCATGCCGCTGCACTCCAGCCTGGTGAAAGAGAAAGATTCCATCTCAAAAAAAAAAAAACATTCTATCTTGCTCAAGCCTTGTTTTAAGCCAAGAAAGCAGTTGCTTTAACACTCTGATAAGCTTTAGAGATATGTCTCCCATATTCTGGCAGAAAGCATGAAGTGAGAAGTAAAACTTGGTGTTCTAATTTCTTCAGTGCCAGGAGTTGTTAACTCCTTGGGCTCAGAGCGGCCTCCACCCAGGAATGTTAGTGGGCCCCAAGTTAAAGCCTCTACACCCAGAATCTGGGCCCTGAATACACCCTTCTGAATACATCCTTCCTCTCCAATTATCTTTTTTTTTTTTTTTTTTTTTTTTTTTTTTTTTTTTTTTTTTTTTTTTTTTTTTTTGAGATGGAGTTCCACTCTGTCACTCAGGCTGGAGTGCAGTGGCACGATCCTGGCCACTGCAACCTGCACCTCCTAGGTTCAAGCAGTTCTCCTGCCTCAGCGTCCTGAGCAGCTGAGATTCGTGTGCCACCACGCCCAGCTAAATTTTATTTTCTTTTTTTTTTTGGCCAGACTGGTCTTGAACTCCTGACCTCAGTGATCCACCCATCTCGGCCTCCCAGAGTGCTAGGATTACAGGCGTGAGCCACTGCGCCCAGCCACATCCCTACTTATCTTTATATATCCCTGTTTTTCTCTCTCCCCAGGCATAGACGTCTCTTCCCTTTGCCAGAATGGAGGCCTCTGTGTCGACAGTGGCCCCTCTTATTTCTGCCACTGCCCCCCTGGATTCCAAGGCAGCCTGTGCCAGGATCATGTGAACCCATGTGAGTCCAGGCCTTGCCAGCATGGGGCCACCTGCATGGCGCAGCCCAATGGGTATCTCTGTCAGGTGAGAGGGTCTGGAGGAGAAGGGGAGGAAAGACAACGGTGGGCTGGATGGGAGAGACAGTAGTGATGGGGGAAGACCCAGTGTATCCATTTCTCCTCCCTTTCCCTTTACCCCACATACCCAACTAACCACAGAGTCACACCACCTTATCTCCTGAAGTTTTCTCAAGTCTGTGCTTTCACCTCCGCCCTTTGTCCCACTGCCTGCGTCCTGACCTCTGTTGCATTCCAGGCAGAGACTTGTATTTGCCTCCTGACTACGGTCCCTGCCACCACACTGGTCCTTCCATAGGTTCAGCCTTTACCCTGCGGCCAGGGTACTCTACTGAAAATGTCCAACTGACCTGTCACTCCCCTGCTGAACCTTCAGCAGCTGCCCAACTCTTTCAGAACGAAGTCCACAGCCTGCATGACTCAGCCCTGCCTGCCTCTCAGGCCTCAGCTCTCCCCGTCCCACCAACCTACTCTCTGCTCCAGCAACACAAAACTGAGGCAGGGGAATCGCTGACTTTCCCACATACCCCATACTGATTCTTGCCTCTCAGCCTTTATTCCTGCTATTGACACTACCTGGAACAGCCTTCCCAGCCCCTCTTCCATGGGCTGGTGCTCAGGAGGCACCTTCCTCAAGAAGATGTCCCTAACTTCTCCCCAGGCTGGGTGAGGGCCTCTTCTTCGTGGTGCAGGTCACTAAGCCAGGAGAGGCAAAGCTGGCATTCAAGTCTAAGCAGCCTGATTCGTATGCTCAGAACCACAACTTTTTGGTGTGTATGGTTGCCATTTTATTTTCTTTTGTTATTGACACATAGTAATCATACATATCTATGGGGTACATGTGATATTTTTTCTTTTTTGGAGACAGAGTCAGTCGCTCTGTCCCACTGGCTGGAGTGCAGTGGCACAATCTTGGCTCATTGCAACCCCTGCCTCACGGTTCAAGAGATTCTCATGTCTCAGCCTCCCAAGTAGCTGGGATTACAGGCATACACCTCTATGCCTGTAACCATGCCTGGCTAATTTTTGTATTTTCAGTAGAGACAGGGTTTCGCCATGTTGGCCAGGCTGGTCTCGAACTCCTGACCTCGGGCAAACTGCCCACCTTGGCCTCCCAAAGTGCTGGGACTATAGGCATGAGCCACCGCGCCTGGCCACATGTGATATTTTGGTACATGTATACAATGTGTCATGATCAAATCAGAATAATTAGATTATCATCGCAAACATTTATCATTTGTGTTGAGAACATTCCAAATCTTCTCTTCTAGTTATTTCGAAATGTAAATTGTTAACTACCATCATCCTACTCTGCTATCTAACACTAGAACTTATTTCTTCTATCGACGGTAATTTTGTATCCATTAACCAACCTCTCTTCATCTCCCACTCCCTGCTAATCTTTCTAGGCTCTGGTAACCATTATTCTACTCTACTTCCTTGAGATTAACTTTTTTAGCTCCCACATATGAGTGAGGAGCAATACCAGACATACAATAGGAGGCTGATGCAAGTATCTACCTGGAATGCAAGAAAGGTCAGGGCTAGCTAAGGCAGTGGGACAAAGGTGAAAGTGAGAAACACAATATTTGTCTTTCTGTGCCTGGTTTATTTCCCTTAACATAATGTCCTTCAGTTTCATTCATGTTACTGAAAACGATAGATTTTCATTCTTTTTCTGGCTGAATAATATTTCATTGTGTGTATATACCACAGTTTATTTTTCCATTCATTCGTTGATGAGCACTTAGGTTGATTCCATATGTTAGCTATTGTGAACAGTGCTGCAATAAACATGGGGATGCAGATATCTCTTCAAGATACTGATTTCCTTTGGATATATAGTCAACAGTAGATTGCTTGATCATATGGTGGATCTATTTTTAGTTTTTGAGAAACTTCCATGCTTTTCTTCATACTGGCTATGTTAGTTTACATTCCCACCAATGGTGTCTGAAGGTTCCCCTTTCTCTGCATCCTTGCCAGCATCTGTTATTTTTTGTTTTTTCTTTATAATTTTCTTTTCCTTTTTTGAGACAGAGTCTTGTTCTGTTGCCCTGGCTGGAGCACAGTGACATGATCTCAGCTCACTGCAACCTCTGCCTCCCAGGTTCAAGCGATTCTCATGCCTCAGCCTCCCAAGTAGCTGGGATCACAGGCATGGGCCACCACGCTCAGCTAATGTTTTGTATTTTTGGTAGAGATGGGGTTTCACCACATTGGCCAGGATGGGCTTAAACTCCTGACTTCAAGTGATCCTCCCATCTCAGCCTCTGAAAGTGCTGAGATTACAGGCATGAGCCACAGCACCCAGCCCTTGTCTTTTCAATAACAGCCATTTTAACTGGTGTGAGATGATATCCACTGTGGTTTTGATTTGCATTTCCCTGATTTGCATCCATATATCTGTTGGCCATTTGCATGTCTTCTTTTGAGAAATGTCTGTTCAGAGCATTTACCCATTTTTTAAACCATATTATTTGTTGGTGGTGGTAGTGGTGCTGTTTGCTATTGAGTTCCTTATATATTCTGATTATTAACCCCCTGTCAGATAGATAGTTTGCAATTATCTTCTTCTATTCTGTAGGTTGCCTCTTCACTCTTTTGATTGTTTCCTTTGCTGTACAGACACTTTTTAGCTTGATGTAATCCCATTTGTCTATTTTTGCTTTTGTTGCCTGTACTGTTGAGGTCTTATCCAAAATATTTTTGCCCAGATCAGTGCCTTAAAGCATTTCCCCAGTGATTTTTTTTTAGTGGTTTCATAGTTTCCAGTTGTACATGTAAGGCTTTAATACATTTTGTATATAATGACAGATAGAGGTTTAGTTTCTTCTGCATATGGATATCCAGTTTTTCCAGCACCATTTATTGAAGAGACTGTTCTTTTCCCCAAAGTATGTACTTGGTGCCTTTGTTGAAAGTAAATTGGCTGTTAACGTGTGGACTTATTTCTGGGCTCTGCTCTCTATTCCATTCCATTCGATTGGTCCGTGTGTCTGTTTTTTATGCCAGCACCATGCTATTTTGGTTACTGTAACTTTGTAGCATATTTTGAAGTTAGGTAGTGTGATGCCTCTAGCTTTGTTCTTTTTGCTGAAGATTCCTTTGGCTGTTTGGGTCTTTTACAGTTCAGATAAATTTTAGGGTTGTTTTTTCTATTTCTGTAAAGACTATCATTGGTATTTTGATAGGGATTGCATGACTCTGTAGATCACTTTGGTAAGCGCAGACATTTTAACAGTATTCATTCTTCCAATCCATGAGCACAGGATATCTTTCCATTTTTTTGTGTCCCCTTCAATGTATTTCATCAGTGTTTTATAGTTGTCATTGCAGTGTTCTTTAACTTCTTTAGTTAAATTTATTCATTTGCTTTTTTATGTTTTGTAACTATTATAAATGGGATTGCTTTCTTGATTTCTTGTTCAGATTGTTTGCTGTTAGTGTGTAGAAATGCTACTACTTTTTCGACATTGATTTTGCATCCTACAGCTTTACTGAATTGGTTCAGAGCCAGTGGATTCTTTAGGTTTTTCTAAATCTAGGATTATGTCATCTGTGAACATGGGTCATTTTATTTCTTCCTTTGCAATTTGGATGCCCTTTATTTCTTTCTCTTGCCTAATTGCTCTGGCCAGGACCTTCAGTATTATGTTGAATAAAAACAGTGAAAGTGAGCATCCTTGTCTTGTTCCAGATCTTAGAGGAAAGGCTTTCAACTTTTTCCCCATTCAATATGATGTTAGCTGTGGGTTTGTTACATATGGCCTTTACTATTTTGAGATATAGAACCACAACTTTTTTTTTTTTTTTTTTTTTTTTGATACAGAGTCTTGCTCTGTAACCCAGGCTGGAGTGCAGTGGTGCAATCCCGGCTTACTGCAACTTTCACTTCCCGAGTTTAAGCAATTCTCCTGCCTCAGCCTCCCCAGTAGCTGGGATTACAGGTGCCTGCCACCATACTGAGCTAATTTTTTTGTGTGTGTATTTAGTAGAGATGGGGTTTTACCATGTTGGCCAGGCTGGTCTCAAACTCCTGACCTCAAGTAATCTCCCCACCTTGACCTCCCAAACTACTGGGATTATAGGCATGAGCCACCACGCCTGGCCAGAACCACAACTTTTGATAGAAGGCTTGAGGCATAACCCTTAATTTATCCTCCTTTTTCAATTTTTAATTTTATTTTTAACCTTTTATTGTGAATACTTTTAAACATAAACAAAAGCAGTATACTGATCAGAAGTAAATCTCTATGCACCCATTACTCAGCTTTACTTCTTCTTTCATGAAGCTCCCTGCTGCTCCTTCCAGCTCTCTTGACCAGTCCTTGGATTCTTTTGAATTCCCTTTTCTCTGTCTCCTTGAAGCATTCCTTCCTGGCACTCCACTCTTGCACATTCTCCTTCCTCTTGCAAGAACCCAGCATGTGGTACAGATCTTGTCAGTGATCCTTCTCTTACTAGCTGAGTGGCATGAAGAAGCAGAAAATGGTTGAGAGCGTTGGTTATGGAGCCACAGACCTTCACTGATTCCCAGCTCTGCCACCTATAGCTATTTGACTTATGCAGGTCACATAACCATTCAGAGACTCAACTTCCTTATGTGCAAAGTAAAAATCAAATGAAATAACCCATATAAAGTGTTGTTAGAGGGTTTTCTAGGTTATGTATATAAATCATGCAATAAATGCTAGTCATTTCTTTCCTCTGGTTGACTGAGAGCTTCAGGGAAATAGGAATGGGTTCTAACTTTCTTTGTATTCCTAGTGCCTAAAATGGTGCCTGTCACAAAGGAGGCATCCAGCAGATGCTTATGGACTAATAAACTATTAGAGAGCCTGGTGGGTATTTGGTAGGGAAGGAAGGTTTTACCAAAAATGTGCTGAGTTTGGTGGCAGTGTGTCACAGAGATTGTTTGGGACTGGGAAAGGTTGTGTGTCACTGAGCAATTGTGTCTCATGTGGAGTTGAGATAGAAGGGTTGTGACACGTGGCCATGATGGATGGTGAGTTGAGTAATGCTGTTGAGCTGGAAGGTGGGGGACTGGACAGACTATCTTGAGCTGGGTCCCTTGTAGTGCTGGGTTGGGCTCATCCACTGGTTCCCTGTCTGACTCTTTGTCTACAGTGCGCCCCAGGCTACAAGGGACAGAACTGCTCAAAGGAACCCGATGCTTGTCAGTCCCAACCCTGTCACAACCATGGAACCTGCACCCCCAAACCTGGAGGCTTCCACTGTGCCTGCCCTCCAGGCTTCGTGGGGCTACGCTGTGAGGGAGACGTGGACGAGTGTCTGGACCAGCCCTGCCACCCCACAGGCACTGCAGCCTGCCACTCTCTGGCCAATGCCTTCTACTGCCAGTGTCTGCCTGGACACACAGGTGAGGCCCCGAGACAGGGGCACAAGCGTGACGATGGAGAGCCAGATAGTCTCCACCCATGTGGCAGCCATCACTGGTCCGTCCCCTGCCTCCACGCCCTCCCCCACCCAGAAAAGATCCCCAGGATCCCTTGGCCTGCATATCTAGCCCTGGGCCAGCAGCCAGGAATGAGCTAGGACAGAGGCAGTGACTGATGCAGTGTGTGGCATCTAATCTCCCCTCCAATTACAGGCCAGCGGTGTGAAGTGGAGATAGACCCCTGCCACAGCCAGCCCTGCTTTCACGGAGGAACCTGTGAGGCCACAGCAGGATCACCCCTAGGTTTCATATGCCAATGCCCCAAGGCAAGTGACCACAAATCTGCCTTCTCTATTGCCCCCTATACTAACAAAGAACAAGAATACCTCCGTTGGAATCCCAGAAGGGACTGTGGGGGAGCACCGATGTAGAAATTATTGGAAAAAGCCAGTAAGTTCACAGTGGCAAGTGTCTCTCAGAAGCAGTCAGAGGAAAGGCAGGATCAGTTGATAGCATGAATGGAATTTTCAGAAATCAAAGGTGTTGCCTAAGGGAAGGTCTGGAACTCCCCAAGATCAAGCTGCATGGTGGGTCGCCTTGTATAGGTTATTTTATGTATGTGTATGTGTGTGTATTTATGGACCTCAGATGCATGGAATTAGATTAATCCTAAGATTTAGTTAATGATATGCTGATGTTGGTTTATGCCTAGTCGTCTTTTCTTGTATTGTTCTAACAATGTAACACCCATGAACCTAACCCAAGAATTTTGATATTAATAATAACTTACATCTACTTATGTCCTCTTCCTCGATCCTGTTCCCTCTCCAAAGGCAGAGGAAGGCATATGATCCTATTTCTAAGGAGTAAGATAATAATATCATAGCCGGCCTGGAGCAGTGTCTCATGCCTGTAATCCCAGCACTTTGGGATGCCAAGTCCGGCAGATCACCTGAGGTCAGGAGTTCAAGACCAGCCTGCCCAACATGGTGAAACCCCATCTACTAAAAATACAAAATTAGCCAGGCATGGTGGCGCATGCCTGTAATCCCTGCTGCTTGGGAGGCTAAGGCAGGAGAATCGCTTGAACCCGGAAGGCAGAGGTTGTGGTGAGCTGAGATTGCGCCATTGCACTCCAGCCTGGGCAACAAGAGCAAAACTCCATCTCAAATAATAATAATAATATATCATTCCATTAGCTGTTTAGTCTTCTAGGACATGCACTGTGATGCCACAGTCCATCAAGTTCTTGCACACAGTTGCGGTTCATCCATTTTCACTACAATGTAATATGTCATTGTGTGAAATTACCATGGGACATGGTTTCAACATCCACAAAATGTTTAACTTCATACTCTCTGAGGCCCCTTTTAGACATGAGAATCTAAGACCCTCTTGGGTCTTAACCCAAGACTTTGCTTGATGGGGAGTGGGAAGAATAATGCAAGTTCCTTCTCCAAAATCTCCCCTCCCCTCCACAGGGTTTTGAAGGCCCCACCTGCAGCCACAGGGCCCCTTCCTGCGGTCTCCATCACTGCCACCACGGAGGCCTGTGTCTGCCTTCCCCTACGCCAGGCTTCCCACCACGCTGTGCCTGCCTCAGTGGCTATGGGGGTCCTGACTGCCTGACCCCACCAGCTCCTAAAGGCTGTGGCCCTCCCTCCCCATGCCTATACAATGGCAGCTGCACAGAGACCACGGGCTTGGGGGGCCCAGGCTTTCGATGCTCCTGCCCTCACAGCTCTCCAGGGCCCCGGTGTCAGAAGCCCGGAGCCAAGGGGTGTGAGGGCAGAAGTGGAGATGGGGCCTGTGATGCTGGCTGCAGTGGCCCAGGAGGAAACTGGGATGGAGGAGACTGCTCTCTAGGGGTCCCAGACCCCTGGAAGGGCTGCCCCTCCCACTCTCGGTGCTGGCTTCTCTTCCGGGATGGGCAGTGCCACCCACAGTGTGACTCTGAAGAGTGTCTGTTTGATGGCTACGACTGTGAGACTCCTCCAGCCTGCACGTGAGCCTGAAACCCACTGGAGCCAGGGAAGGAGAGGGGTGGGTGAGAGGAGGAGGAAGGACATAGATGGCTTTGAGTTAGTGTGGCCACAGCTCAGGCTCCAGGGAGTTTCCACCCTAATAACCATTGCTAAATAGGGGTCGAAGACTCTGGACTCCAACCTAGGGTAATGGGGTGGCATCAATATTTAATGCGGGGCGTGGCCTTTGGGATCCTCTCTGAGAGCTGTGGGAACTCAGGCCTCAAGCCTCCCTCTCTAAGCCTTAATGCCATGGAGTATTTCCCCTAGCAGTCAGCATTCAACGGAAAAGGGCGTCAGACTCTCCTTCAGAAACAGAGGAGAGCTTGGGAGAGGACAGAGAGGAGACAGTCTAGGAAGACAGGGGTATTAGCAGACATTGGGGTATCTGGACTACCATCCAGGACTTGGCTAAGTTCATTGCTCCACAGCTGCCCCCACTTAGCAACCAAAGCCCTAGAGGCCACAAAACATGGGGAATTCTCTCTAGGGTGAAGAAAAGAGTCAGGTTTTATGGAGGTCCTGAGTCCCCCTCTCCTCACTCCACAGTCCAGCCTATGACCAGTACTGCCATGATCACTTCCACAACGGACACTGTGAGAAAGGCTGCAACACTGCAGCATGTGGCTGGGATGGAGGTGACTGCAGGCCTGAAGATGGAGACCCAGACTGGGGGCCTTCCCTGGCCCTGCTGGTGGTACTGAGCCCCCCAGCCCTAGACCAGCAACTGTTTGCCCTGGCCCGGGGGCTGTCCCTGACTCTGAGGGTGGGGCTCTGGGTGAGGAAGGATCGTGATGGCAGGGACATGGTGTACCCCTATCCTGGGGCCCGAGCTGAAGAGGCACTAGGAGGAACTCGAGACCCCTCCAATCAGGAGAGAGCAGCCCCTCAAATGCAGCCCCTGGGCAAGGAGACCGACTCTCTCAGTGCTGGGTAAGAAGCTGGGTGGAGGGAAGGACCAGACACCGGTTTTGATTAAGAGGGCAGAGGGAGGGAAGAGAGCCAGGGACCAACACAGGGGTCTCTGACGTGCCTGTCCTACAGGTTTGTGGTGGTAATGGGAGTGGATTTATCCCGCTGTGGCCCTGACCACCCGGCATCCCACTGTCCCTGGGACCCTGGGCTTCTACTCCGCTTCCTTGCTGCGATGGCTGCAGTGGGAGCCCTGGAGCCCCTGCTGCCTGGACCCCTGCTGGCTGCCCACCCTCATGCAGGTACCAGTAGGTGACCCCTTGCCACTTTCTCTGACTTCTGTTCCCAGGCCAGCTCTCATGCTAGCAACAGGCAATGGAGGCTAAATGAAACAGGACAGCTGAGACTGAAAATGTTCTTTGTAGCCAGGTGCAGTGGCGCATGCCTGTAGACCCGGCTACTCGGGAGGCTGAGGCTGGAGGATCTCTTGAGTCCAGGAGTTCTGGGCTGTAGTGCGCTACGCCGATCGGGTGTCCACACTAAGTTCAGCATCAATATGGTGACCTCCCGGAGCGGGGGGTCACCAGGTTGCCTAAGGAGGGGTGAACCAGCCCAGGCCGGAAACAGAGCAGGTCAAAATTCCCGTGCTGATCAGTAGTGGGATCGTGCCTGTGAATAGCCACTGCACTCCAGCCTGGGCAACATAGTGAGACCCCCTCTCTAAAAAAAAAAAAAAAGAAAATGTTCTTTGTAGGGACTTACTTTCCCTAACCTCACTTTCTCTAACTGAATCTCCCGCTGGCCCATTTATTCTACAGTCTAAGTACATTATCCTAACCTCTGTTATAGCCCTCCAACAAAGGGCTGCTTTATCTTCTCTACCAGACTGAGAATATCTAATCGTCTTGGTATCAGATAACTCATACTACATGAAATAATAACTGTTATATCATACTTACTCTGTGCCTTACTCCAAGCATTTTACATCGTTACCTCATTTAATCCTCCCCACAACCCCATTAGGGACATACTACTGGTTGAGTATCCCTTATCTGAAATGCTTGGGAACAAAAGTGTTTCAGATTTTGGACTTGTTTATTTTGGAATATTTGCATTATACTTACCAGTTCAGCATCCTTAATACAACATCAAAATGTACAATGAGCATTTCCTTTGAGCATCACGTTGGTGCTCTAAAAGTTTCAGACTTTGGAACATTTCAAATTTTGGATTGGGATTATGGATATTCAACCTGTTTTTCTGTGTGTTTGTTTGTTGAGACAGTCTCACTCTGTCACCCACACTGGAGAACAGTGGTGCCATCTCGGCTCACTGCAACCTCCACCTCCTGGGTTTAAGTGATTCTCATGCCTCAAACTCCCAAGTAGCTGGAATTACAGGGGCATGCCACCACATCCTGCTAATTTTTGTTGTATTTTTAGTCCAGACAGGGTTTCGTCACTTTGACCAGGCTGGTCTTGAACTCCTGGCCTCATATGATCCACCTACCTCAGCCTCCCAAAGTGCTGGGATTACAGGCATGAGCCACCGTGCCCAGCCTCAACCTATATCATCATCCCCATTTTGCAGATAAGGAAACCAACGCAAAGACAGCCTACCAAGCTTGTTAAAAGGTCTCCCAATAGTAATCAGTCTCACCAGGAGTGGCCTCTCTTTGTGACTCTGTCTCTTCCACCAGCGACCCCTGCCAACCAGCTTCCCTGGCCTGTGCTGTGCTCCCCAGTGGCTGGGGTGCTTCTCCTGGCCCTAGGGGCTCTTCTCGTCCTCCAGCTCATCCGGCGTCGACGCCGAGAGCATGGAGCTCTCTGGCTGCCCCCGGGTTTCACTCGACGGCCTCGGACTCAGTCAGCTCCCCACCGACGCCGGCCCCCACTGGGCGAGGACAGCATTGGTCTCAAGTGAGAATGAGGAGAAACAGGTTCAGGAAGGGGAGTCTCTCCTATGGCGAGATTTACAATCAGAAGAGCTAAGAAATACTACTGCGGAAGTCAAAAATAGGGGAAGGAGAGAGGGGTGGGAAGCCTGCTGGAAATCTTGGAGACCCTGATGGTCATAATTCCATGTAACTTCTACCCATCCATTCCCTTTCAGGACCCTGAAGCCAGAGGCAGAAGTTGATGAGGATGGAGTTGTGATGTGCTCAGGCCCTGAGGAGGGAGAGGAGGTGGGCCAGGTGAAAGGGCTGGGGCAAGAATGGTCTGGAGGTGATGGAAGGGATGAAAGGGCAAATTAACCTTCACTGATCCTTGCTCTTACCCCAAGGCTGAAGAAACAGGCCCACCCTCCAAGTGCCAGCTCTGGCCTCTGAGTGGTGGCTGTGGGGAACTCCCTCAGGCAGCCATGCTAACTCCTCCCCAGGAATCCGAGATGGAAGCCCCTGACCTGGACACCCGTGGACCTGGTATGTGAGTCAACCTAGACCAAGACAAAAAAAAAAAAAAGGGTCTTCGACTCAGAGTCCATCAATATCAGAACTAGAGGAACTAATTTTAGACTGAGTGCTTTAGAACAGTGATTCTCAAAGTGTGGTCCTCAGACAGCAGAATCAGCATCACCTGGGAATTTGTTAGAAATGCAAATTCTTGGGGTCCACTATAGAGCTACTGACTCAGGAATTCAAGATGTTAGGCAATCTGTTTCAATAAGCCCTTCCGGTGAATCTGATCCAGACTCGTTTAAGAAAACCACTGCCCTGGAATGTCAGATAATTAAGCTACAGTTTCCTTTTACAGAGGAGGAAAACTGAAGTCAGAGTAAAGTAGAAAAGTCACTTGATTTAAAGCCTCACAAAGAGCCAGAACTTAGCTTCCCGGCACCTCAGGTTTTGATTCTCTCTGAGCTTCCATGTCCCCTCCTCCTTGTTGGGACCTTTAGATTGACCCATTACTCATGTCTTGCCCACAGATGGGGTGACACCCCTGATGTCAGCAGTTTGCTGTGGCGAAGTAGAGTCCAGGACCTTTCAAGGGGCATGGTTGGGATGTCCTGAGCCCTGGGAACCTCTGCTGGATGGAGGGGCCTGTCCCCAGGCTCACACAGTGGGCACTGGGGAGACCCCCCTGCACCTGGCTGCCCGATTCTCCCGGCCAACCGCTGCCCGCCGCCTCCTTGAGGCTGGAGCCAATCCCAACCAGCCAGACCGGGCAGGGCGCACACCCCTTCATGCTGCTGTGGCTGCTGATGCTCGGGAGGTCTGCCAGGTTAGCACACACTAAGGTTGCTACAGGGAATGGGACGAGCCTACAAGTCAAGCTGGGCAGAAGCATCCCCTAGGGTTTGACAAAGAGGAAATTGGTGTGATTGGGAACCTAAAAGTGAAACAGCGGAGGACGGCTGAATATGGATTGCGAATGGAGTTGAAAGGAACTTGAGTTGGCAGTCCAGGGCACCCCAGGGGTCACTGGCCCTCTGTCTCCCCAGCTTCTGCTCCGTAGCAGACAAACTGCAGTGGACGCTCGCACAGAGGACGGGACCACACCCTTGATGCTGGCTGCCAGACTGGCGGTGGAAGACCTAGTTGAAGAACTCATTGCAGCCCAAGCAGACGTGGGGGCCAGAGATAAATGGGGTATGTAGAGGAAGGGGTGATTTGTGCTATAAAGAAGTTGAGCAGATAGGGTGTGAGATGGCGTGCAAAATATAGGTGCAGCGGAGGGGCATTCCCTCTCATCCTGCTGTTATGGTGGTCAGTCTGCGAAGCGGTGTTAGTACCGGCCGCCAGGGTTTCCCCCCCATCTCCCACTCTCGACAACACACTCGCCCTCTGCTCCAGCTTACTAGGGAACTGGCATGGGAGTGAGTGTCTGTGGGAAGGGGGCGGAATCTCGTGGGGGCAGTTGGTCTCCCGGTCTCACCAACCCCAGAACAATGCCCCATTGTCCCGCCCGCGCGCTGGTGACGTCACTAAGGCACCACTTCCTGCAGGCCGACGGTCCCCAGGGCAACGCTTCCCCACTTTGAGGGACCAGCCGGCCCAAATAGCCCTTCCCCCAAGGCCAGAACCCGTGGGAAACCGGAACCGTGGCGTCTGGCCCCCAACCGCGGTAACATCCTCCCATGTTGTCCCCTAGGGAAAACCGCACTGCACTGGGCTGCTGCCGTGAACAACGCCCGAGCCGCCCGCTCGCTTCTCCAGGCCGGAGCCGATAAAGACGCCCAGGACAGCAGGGTTAGATGGGACAGCGGGCTTCCCACAAAACGGTCGGGAGCAGGAGAGATGCAAAGTGCAGTAACCACACAAAGCCTGAAGGGAAAGGTGCCAGTGGTCCCGTAGGTGAAGGCAGAAAGGCCCAGTCCTGTGGGCCCGGCCTTTCCTGATCTCGCCCCTGGCTCTTTCCTCCTGTGCAGGAGCAGACGCCGCTGTTTCTGGCGGCACGCGAAGGAGCAGTGGAAGTAGCCCAGCTCCTGCTAGGGCTGGGGGCAGCCCGAGAGCTGAGAGACCAGGCTGGATTAACGCCCGCGGACGTCGCTCGCCAACGTAACCACTGGGATCTGCTGACGTTGCTGGAAGGGGCGGGGCCACTAGAGGCGCGTCACAAAGCCACGCCGGCCCGCGAGGCCGGGCCCTCCCCGCGCGCACGAACGGCGTCAGGAAGCGTGCCCCCGCATGGGGGCGGGGCTCTGCCGCGCTGCCGGACGCTGTCTGCGGGAGCGGGCCAGCGTCGGGGAGGAGCTTGTCTGCAGGCTCGGACTTGGTCCGTGGACTTGGCTGCGCGGGGAGGCGGGGCCTATTCTCATTGCCGGAGCCTCTCAGGAGGAGGAGCAGGAGGAGGCCCGCCCCCTCGCGGCCGTAGGTTTTCTGCAGGCATGCGCGGGCCTCGGCCCAACCCAGCGATAATGCGAGGAAGATTCGGAGTGGCTGCCGGGCGCGGAGGCAGGGTCTCAGCGGATGACTGGCCCTGTGATTGGGTGGCCCTGAGACCTTGCGGTTCCGCCTCCAACATTCCGATCCCGCCTCCTTGCCTCACTCCGTCCCCGGAGCGGGGATCCCCTCAAGTTGACTGCGGTCCCCCAGCCCACCAGGAAATGCCCATAAACCCAGGAGGAGAGGGTAAAAAATAGAAGGGTACATCGTAGGGAAGAATTCCAAAAATGGTTACCCATTAAAAGGCAGGCTGGAAGGCCCTCCTGGTTTTAAGATGAAGCCCCAAAAAATGAAGGGTTGTGAGTTTAGTTTCTCTCCTAAAACGAATTTATGCCCCCACCAGAGCAGGCATCTTCCACGTGGAGAAGCTGCAGCTCTGGAAAGAGGCTTTAATATGCTAGGATGAGGCAGGCCCAGTCCTCCTCCAGAAAATGGGAGAGGCCACAGGAGGGCAGAATGGAGGGGAAATACCCCTAAACTGGAACCAAAAACTGGAGGCAGATAAGATGTAAGATGTTCTTTCCTACATATGGTTCCAAAGGGAGCCTCTATCATCCATTGTCCCCACTGCCCACAAATGGCTTATATTTATTGGGCACCTACTATGTGCCAGGCACTGTAGATGCTGAAAAGTGGCCAAGGGCCAGCCCAGCTTATGACTCCTTGCATTCCCTCCCCTCACAACAAAGAAACTCCACTGCAGGGATGAAGCGCTTCTAGCCACTGCAATCGCTATTTAAGAACCCTAAATCTGTCACCTGTAATAAAGCCAGTTTGAAGTGTTACCTTTTTTGGAGGAGTTGGGGAGAATGGGAAAAAAGATGGGAGTGACTACATAGTGTCAGCATTTTGTGCGTCAGGCTCAACATTTGGATTGGATGAAGGCTGTAAATATAGTTTAAAAGCAAGAATATTTAGGGGCCCTATGAAAATTTAAGGTATTACCTGAAAGCAAGAGTCTAGTAGCTAAGGGAGAACCTACACACATGCTAGGCCGGGGGTCCCCAACCCCTGAGCTGCAGACTGGTACTGGTCCATGGCCTCTTGGGAACTGGGCCACACAGCAGGTGAGCGAGCATTACCCCCTGAGTGCCACCTCCTGTCAGATCAGCATAAGCAGCAGATTCTCATAGGAGCTCGAACCCTATTGTGAACTGCACATAGAGGGATCAACCTTTCTCACTTCTTATGAGAATCTAATGCGTAATGATCTGAGGTGGAACAGTTCCATCTGAAACCAGTCCCCCATCCCCACAGACCATGGAATAATTGTCTACCACAAAACTCTTCCCTGGTTCCAAAAAAGTAGCAGACTGCTACACTAGATGATGAACACACTTTCTCCCTCATCCTAGGGCTTTTATTTATGGCCACTTAGGGAGATTCCTAAGGCCTCAAGAGTGTGTCTTAAAAAATCTTTGTCGGCCTGGTGTGGTGGCTCACACCTGTAATCCCAGCACTTTGGGAGGCTGAGGCGGGCGGATCATGAGGTCAGGAGATCGAGACCATCCTGGCCAACATGGTGAAACCCATCTCTACTAAAAATACAAAAATATTAGCTGGGTGTGGTGGCACACGCCTGTAGTCCCAGCTACTTGGGAGGCTGAGGCAAGAGAACTGCTTGAACCCAGGAGATGGAGATTGCAGTGAGCCAAGATCACACTGCTGCACTACAGGATGGGTCACCGTGCAAGATTGAGTCTCAAAGAAAAAAGAAACTTTGTCCACCTTGCAGGAATATGTTGCTAGGTTTGAAACATGGAGTCAAGAGGCATTTTGAAACTAAATAATATCTACAATTTATTGAGTATTCACTATGCATCGGCCAGGCACAGTGGCTCATGCCTGTAGTCCCAGCACTTTGGGAAGTCAAGGCGAGCAGATCACGAGGTCAGGAGTTCAAGACCAGCCTGGCCAACATGGTGAAACCGAGTCTCTACTAAAAATACAAAAATTAGCTGGGCATGGTGATGCACGCCTGTAATCCCAGCTACTCGGGAGGCTGAGGCAGGAGAATTGCTTGAACCAGAGCCCAGAAAGCGGAGGCTGAGGTGAGCCAAGATCGCACCACTGCACTCCAGACTGGGCTACAGAGCGAGACTCCGTCTCAAAAACACAAAACCAAAAACGCTATGCATCAACTCTTCTATGAAGTAGGTGCTATTAAAACCCTATTTCACTCTTGCAGAAATTGAGGTACAGAGATCTGCCTAAGATTGCAAGGGAGTAAGTGGCAGGATCTCTCTTTTTTTTTTTTTTTAAAGATGGGGGTTTCACCATGATGGCCAGGTTGGTTTTGAACTCCTGACCTCAGGTGATCCACCCACCTAGGCCTCCCAAAGTGCTAGGATTACAGGCGTGAGCCACCACACCCAGCCACTATCTCTTCCTCACAGTGCATGTTGGGTAGTTGGGATTACATGCTTCTCCCACACATCCTCGGTGATGTTTTCTATTTTTTTTTTTTTTAAAGATGGGGGTTTCACCATTATGGCCAGGTTGGTTTTGAACTCCTGACCTCAGGTGATCCACCCACCTAGGCCTCCCAAAGTGCTAGGATTACAGGCGTGAGCCACCACACCCAGCCACTATCTCTTCATCACAGTTCATGTTCTAAATCAGTCAGCTATAAACTTCCTAACATGACAGGTTTCCATTTAGAGATACCAAATGGTTGTCTGTCCTGCACCCTCCTTGATGCCAACCAGTCTGATTAGCATTGATCAATGACCAAGCCAGAGAGGTGGTCCTCTCCCTTTTCCATTTCATTTCTTTCTTTTTCTGAAACAGGGTCTTGTCTGTTGCCCAGGCTATAGTGCAGTGACACAAACAGCTTACTGCAGCCACAACTTCCTAGGCTCTAGCAATCTTCCCACCTCAGCCTCTGGTTTTTCCATATCTATAGCTCTTATCTGTGACCAAAATAAAGCCTTCCCCTGCCCCTTGTCTGCACTAAACTCCTAAGTTTCCAAAATGAACCCTGCCCTGTACTCTCACATTTGGTGCACATCTTGTCTCCTGAAGAGACTGTATTTTTTTTTTTTTTTTTTTTGAGATGGAGTCTCCCTCTGTCACACAGGCTAGGGTGCAGTGGCGCGATCTCGCCACTGTAACCTCTGCCTCCCAGGTTCAAGCAATTCTCCTGCCTCAACCTCCCGAGTAGCTGGGATTACAGGCACAGGCTGCCATGCCCAGCTAATTTTTTTATTTTAGTACAAACAGGGTTTCACTGTGTTGCCCAAGCTGGTCTCAAACTCCCGAGCTTGGGCAATCCGCCCGCCCGCCCGCCCGTCTCAGCCTCCCAAAGTGCTAGGATTATAGGCGTGAGCCACTTCGCCCAGCCGTCTCCTGAATAGACTGCAAACAACTAGAGGTCAGGGATGATTATTCAATACATATATATTGGATACTTACTATGTGCTGGACCCAGTGCTCGGGTTATATGTACATATTTGAGACCTCCACATCCCTGGATCTGAATCCTCTACTTCCCACTGCAACCATGCCCCTCCCAGTCCCAGTAAGTAAGAAAAAAGATCAGGAGGGCCAAATCCGATACCAGGGTCTATCTTAGGAAGGGAAGGGACCTGGTTGGGGGGAGGGGGATTCTGAGGAGTGAAACCACTTCCTGTGTAGCTAGTTCCTGTGTTGACAGAAAGAGCAGAAGAGGAGGTAGGGTGGAGGGAGCAGAGCCAGGGATTAGGGGGCTACTGAGGATCTGGAGATGAGATGGCCAGGAGTCTTCCCCACCATGAGCCCCCTCCACTCCTGCAGCTGGAAGAGTTTTTCCCAGTCTTTGTGCTCCCCTGGGGCGAAAGAGACTGAACAAGCTGTTTGGGTGGGAAAAGAGAATGGAGGAAGTTGACAGGGATGGGCGGGGCCCGTTGGGGGGCTGACCAGGAACCCAGCTTCCTGCTCAGTACCCAGGCATCCAGCCCCCAGCTCACCCCCACCCCTTCCAGCCCCCACTCCACTCAGGAACTCAAGGTTCCAGCCCTCCTCCCAAATCCCAGCCACCCCTCCCCCACCAGTTTCTCCCCTCCAGGGAATGGAGGCTGAGAGACCACAGGAAGAAGAGGATGGTGAACAGGTGAGCTGGGCACAGGGTGGGGAGGGCTAACACTGGGAAAGAAGGGAGGTGAGAGGACCTGGGGCAGAGATGTAGGGGCCTTGAAAGGCTTGGGCAAACTGAGGCAGGAACAGAGACACACAGAAAGGAAACGGGCCACTGGCCTAGCCCCCTGTCCACTCCACCTGCTTCAACCACTACTGCTTGACTAGAATGGACATATTTTGGCATCAGGAACCCCCTCAGGATGAGCAAGGCTGGCCCCCTCCAAATTCCACCACTCGGCCTTGGCGATCTGCTCCTCCATCCCCTCCTCCTCCACGGACCCATAACACAGGTACCCCCACCTACCCAGAGAGAGCCCCGACCCTGGTGCCCACATCCTGACCCCATTACCAAGGTCCACTCCATTGTGGGCCCTCTCCCGACCTCCTCTGGACTCCCTCTGGGATTCCCCATTGCACCCCCTCTCCTCTGATCCAAAGTCTCTAATCATGTCACCCTATCCACACTCCCCCACGGCTCCTGTCTGCCAACCTCTCTGGGTCTCTGAGCCCTCCACCCGCCTCTCCCCAGCCCTGGGACCCCGCTCGGCCTCCCTGCTCTCCCTGCAGACTGAGCTCCTTCTGGACCTGGTAGCTGAAGCCCAGTCCCGCCGCCTAGAGGAGCAGAGGGCCACCTTCCACGCCCCCCAAAACCCCCCAATCCTAGCCTCTGCCCCACCCCGTCCTATTGAGGACAGAGAACAGCTCTACAGCACCATCCTCAGTCACCAGGTAAGGCATCCCCCCAGGAGGCAAACCCAGGCCTCCTGGTCTCTTGGCCCCTGTTGTCTTTTGGGCTCTACTCCTGCTTCTCCCTAGGCACCTGCCACATCACCTTCACGGGAAATTTCCTATATGCCTCCCTATGTCAACCCGGGTTCCCAAGGGTTTCCTCCCCTCAGACCCTCACCAAAACTCTCCCTTCTCCCTCCACTCCTCCAGTGCCAGCGGATGGAAGCCCAGCGGTCAGAGCCTCCCCTCCCCCCAGGGGGGCAGGAGCTCCTGGAGTTGCTGCTGAGAGTTCAGGGTGGGGGTCGAATGGAGGAGCAAAGGTCCCAGCCCCCAACACACACTTGCTGAGACTTGAGTCCCAGCCAGCCCTTCCTCACCCCTGGGCTCAAAGCTGGGCAGACCATTGCATGCCCTCAACTCTTACGTGGCAGGGGTACCACAGGCTGAAAGACCCAGCACAAATCTCAATATTCATCGCCCACATTACCTTCCCTGGGAACTGGACTGGGTGAAAGTCCTCAAACTCTGGGAACAGGCAAGGTGAAATGGTGATTTAACTCCCTCCCCAAGTCCTTGGGGGCTTGAGACAGGAAGGGGGAATCCCAGGCACCCATCTCAAGGAGTGGCTGGGAGTCTTCCCTGACTTGTGGGGACACCACCTATTTGTCAAGCTACTAGGCAGGGTCTGAGGGCTCAGGCCTCCACCTAAGAGGTTATAACCTGAGAGACAGCTTCATCCTCCCCCCTAGTAAGAATGGAAGGTAGATGGGCACCTGAGAGATGAAGCCTATTAAGACTGTTCTCCTAGTCCCACCACCAGCAGCCCCCATCCCTGAGACTGAGGGGTTTACAGGCTGTGAATGGACCTTTAGCCCTGCCCACCCTCCCTCCCCACTGCTGCTCTGAGTCTGTCTGATGTTTTGATTGCGTGAATAAATGTAATTCCCCTCTGGACTGAAGACTGGTGTCTGGGGGGCCCGGGCGGGGTGAAGGGTAGAAAGGTGAGGCCAGAGGCCGCCTCTCTCCCCAGTCTGGCCAGAGGCCAGCTCCCCTCCCTGGCTGGTTAATTACTGGCTCATTAAGCAGCGGCTGGAGACCTCCCTAATTATCTCCCCCAGCCCCCCTCTCCTGGTTTTAATTAAGTAGAACAGGGAGGGGAATCATTAGAACAAGAAATCTGAACTGAGCTGTCTGTGAACCCAGGCATTCCAGCGGCCTGAGTCCACATCACCTAGATCCCTGATTCAGAACCCAGGTGGCAGACCCCACCCCAGCCGCCACCACGCCCCCACTCCTAGGCGGCGAAGTCCAGCCAGGGGGCCTTCCCATGTTTTTCACATGGCCCGTCTCCTCCCCTCGTCCCCTCTTCCCTCTCCCCTCCTCCACTCGGTCTCAGTTCCTCTGTTTCTGTGTCTCTCTCTCTCCGCCCCCAGCTCCTCCCTGTTCCTCCTCTCTTCTCCCCTCCTCTTCCTCCCCGGCTCCCCTCCCCCAGCCTCCCTCCCTCGCTCCCCCCCCTTCTCCCTCCTCCCTCCTCCCTCCCTCTCACACACACCCCCGCTTGGGCCTCCTCTCTCTCTCTCCGGCTCCATTTTCTCCGCCGCCGGGGGCCGGGGTCTCCTGTGGGGGGCCCAGCCGGTACCCCAGGTCTCCCTTCAGTGCCGGGGTGAACCCCCGGGGGAGCCGGGAGCCGGGGGCAGACGGGCGGGGGTTGGGGCGGAGGGAGCAGAGGCCCCAGCGAGTTTGGGGGGGAGTAACCAGGCGGGGGTTGGGACAGAGCAGGGAGGGGGCCTCAAGGCCCCCCCCCAGCTATGGACGAGAGGCTACTGGGGCCACCCCCTCCAGGTGGGGGACGGGGGGGCCTGGGATTGGTGGGTGGGGAGCCTGGGGGCCCTGGCGAGCCTCCCGGTGGCGGAGACCCCGGTGGGGGTAGCGGGGGGGTCCCGGGAGGCCGAGGGAAGCAAGACATCGGGGACATTCTGCAGCAGATAATGACCATCACCGACCAGAGCCTGGACGAGGCCCAGGCCAAGTGAGTGCCCCCACCCCGGGACCCCACACAGACCCAGCAAACCCCGTTCACATGCTCTGAATCTTCTGGGAGCCCCCCAACTCCAGGGCCCTCTTCAGGATCCAACAGCTCTCTTCTCTCTTTACTCCTGGGAGCCCCTAGAAAAGTGATCCCTCTCAAACCTCCCTTCACCCCCAGGCCCTGAAACCTTCACAGAGGGAACCCCAGGTGGCCCCGCTCCCCCTCCTAACCTTTTGCTGACCCCCACACTTCCCTGGAACAGCCCCATCTCCGGAGCCCCCTCTGGCTCCCAGACTAAGAAACTGTTCTTGGGCTATGTTATCTTCTCCCCTAACTCTCCACCCAGCCCCTTCATTCTCTCCAGATGTAAAGACCTCCACACCCCTCTCCAGAGCCCCTGAAGCTCCTCTCTACGGCTCAGCCAGACACTAGGTGCATCAAAGCCCCCCACCTGCTCAGCCCCAGGACCCCTTCACACACAGGATCTCCCCAGTCAGCTCGGCAGCCCCAGCCCCACTCTGCCACCTCAAACTCTGACTCTTCTCAACCCCAGCCTGTCTCTCTACCTCTGAAACCTACCAGGTCACCTTCCTTTCCCCATTTACTCCCACAAATTTCCGCATACCTTTCTAACCATCTCCCAAAGCCCCCAGCCTACCAGTGGTACCTTTAGCCTGCGGCTGCATCTTCCCTGTGCCTCCCTGAAGCCAAGCAGCCTCCCCCGCTCTGGGAGCTGATCTTTTCCCAAGAACTCCCCTCCCCAAAGCCATTCCACCCCCAATCCGCTTCCTCCACAGACTGACCCTCCTCCCTGCTTGTTCTCAGGCCCCCTGCTCTGTTTCTCTGGCTCCTCAACTTTTCTCTTTCCCCACTCCCACTCCTCCCAAGGAAACACGCCCTAAACTGCCACCGAATGAAGCCTGCTCTCTTTAGCGTCCTGTGTGAAATCAAGGAGAAAACCGGTATGTGGGTCCCCCCAATTGCTCAACTCTGGGGACAGAACCCTGTTCACTATAGGGCTAGAGTGTGGCAACTTGGGACCCTGAGGAAAGTGAGGAGTCAGGGGGACTGGGAAGGAGCCAAAGCCTGGGAACTTGGCTCTCCAGGAGGCACCAGGAGGACTAAGCACTGGGTGTGGGGTCCCTGGGTCCCTAAGTCCACTGCCTGCATGCTAGGCCTCAGCATTCGAAGCTCCCAGGAGGAGGAGCCGGTGGACCCACAGCTGATGCGCTTGGACAACATGCTTCTGGCAGAGGGTGTGGCTGGGCCCGAGAAAGGGGGTGGCTCAGCAGCAGCAGCTGCAGCCGCTGCAGCCTCTGGGGGTGGCGTATCCCCTGACAACTCCATCGAACACTCGGACTATCGCAGCAAACTTGCCCAGATCCGTCACATATACCACTCGGAGCTGGAGAAGTATGAGCAGGTGAGGAGAGCAGGCTAGGGTGGGTGGAGGGAAGGGCTCTTGCAGGGGATCCCATGCCCAAGGGGCACCTACTCACCAGCCCACGGGCCACCACTACAGGCATGTAATGAGTTCACGACCCATGTCATGAACCTGCTGAGGGAGCAGAGCCGCACCAGGCCCGTGGCCCCTAAAGAAATGGAACGCATGGTGAGCATCATCCATCGAAAGTTCAGCGCCATCCAGATGCAGCTCAAGCAGAGCACCTGCGAGGCTGTGATGATCCTGCGTTCCCGTTTCCTGGATGCTAGGTGAGTGCAGGGACCCAGGCTGGCCCCCAGCACTGGTCTCCTTCCCATTCCTCTCCAAGACCCTGAGCTGCCATGCTGCACAACATGGTACTCCATGACAATGGTGACTCTGGGGTCATGCCATGCAGCAGCACTGCCAGGACGCCAATGTCCTCCTCACAGCTCTTCTCCCTCCTCTGTAGACGAAAGCGCCGTAACTTCAGCAAACAGGCCACTGAGGTCCTAAATGAGTATTTCTACTCACACCTGAGTAACCCATATCCCAGTGAGGAGGCCAAGGAGGAGCTTGCCAAGAAGTGTGGCATCACTGTCTCTCAGGTATTATGGGGACTTGGGGAGGAGTTTTCAGGCAAAATGCACTCATCTCCGCCAGGTGCAGTGGTGTGTTCCTGTAATCGCAGCTAGTAGGGAGGCTGAAGTGGGAGGATCACTTGAGTTGGAGACCAGCTTGGGCAACAACATAGTGAGACCAGGAAGAAAAAAAAATGCTCTCACTCACATCTTACCCAGTGAAGGACTTCAGAGGCAAAGGTTTCTACCTGACCCTCCTTTCTGCCCCACAGGTCTCCAACTGGTTTGGCAACAAGAGGATTCGATATAAGAAAAACATCGGAAAGTTCCAAGAGGAAGCAAACATCTATGCTGTCAAGACCGCCGTGTCAGTTACTCAGGGGGGCCACAGCCGTACCAGCTCCCCGACACCCCCTTCCTCTGCAGGTGGATCCCACTGTTACCCTGGCTGACTGCTATGCACATTTCCTGTGTTTGTTCCCACTTCCTGTCTAGGCAAGATGATAGCAGAGAGGGGGCCTTTTGGGTGAGAGGGACCAAGCTGAGACAGGCTGGAGATGTCAGGGGGCAGAGGCCACTCCGTGAAGTTGGTTCTGCTTTTCTTCCCACGGGAGGCCAAGGAACAGCCTGCTCTTTCTGTGTGTTGGAATGTTGCTTTGTGGATAACTGGAGTATAGTAGCATGTCCCCATAGGGCTAGTATGAGGGCTTTCTGGTAACTGAGAGTTGTGGGTTATCCCCTTCTACCATCACCGGCTCTGTTACACTCTTCCCTCTTTGTTCTCCCAAGGCTCTGGCGGCTCTTTCAATCTCTCAGGATCTGGAGACATGTTTCTGGGGATGCCTGGGCTCAACGGAGATTCCTATTCTGCTTCCCAGGTCAGACGCCCATCTCCTCTTGAGTAGGACTTTCCCCAATTCCATTTTCCCTACTTTTGGATATAAGACCTCTATCCTCTGAGGCGTCTCTTCACTGTCATACCTTTCTCTGCTCCCTGCAGGTGGAATCACTCCGACACTCGATGGGGCCGGGGGGCTATGGGGATAACCTCGGGGGAGGCCAGATGTACAGCCCTCGGGAAATGAGGGTGAGTGGATCCTGAAGCCCCTCTCTGTCCAGTTCTCGCAGGACAGAGGGGCATTTTCCCTAGTAGTATGCCCACACAGGGTTCCCCAAGGCCTTGTCTGTTTTCTGTACTCTGTCTCTCCCTTCTTCCAGGCAAATGGCAGCTGGCAGGAGGCTGTGACCCCCTCTTCAGTGACATCTGCAACAGAGGGACCAGGGAGTGTTCACTCTGACACCTCCAACTGATCTTGATCATGCCCCTCAGGGTCATAGGGGTGGGGGCTCTCACAAGGCGACTCTTGAAGAGGACGCAGGCATCCAGAGGACAAACCCCAAATACAGAACAAGCACAAGACAGAGGAGGGCCAATGGGGTCATCCCCTCCCTAACTAGACTCTGTGCTGGGGGTGCTAATTACATGGCAGGAAGAATGGGACCCCTAAGGGGAGTGTGGGGTCTGTCTCCCCTTTTTTTCCATCTTTTACCTCTCCCCCTTTCTTTACTACACAGAAACACACACATACCCAGAAACCTATTTCTCAGACCCCTTTTTCTCCTCTCTCTCTCTCTCTTTCCCCACACCTCAGCCACACACATACTCCCACTTGCAACTATTCTGTTTCTCTCTGGGCTCCCCCACTTTCCCTTCCCCACCCCACTTATATACTCTGGAATCCATGGAGACGCCAGCCCTGCCCAACCAGAGATGCCAAAAATGGGGACATGACTTCTGGACAGAGGACATGGGCCACGCCCCCGTGTATCCCCACCCCCACCCCTCCAGACGGCTTACTTACCTCATACGCAGCTCATCTTAAACCAATAGAATCGCTCGGTGGACGAGAGTGTCTGACTCAGATATCTACCTCGGAGGGAGTTTCTGCTACTTTAGGGAATTATTGACTGGGCTTTGGGGTTGAACTTTTTTTTTTAAAAGAAAGAAAAAGAAACCCTGGGATCCATCTGGTTTTTTTTTGTTGTTGTTGCTGTTGTTTTTTGTTGTTGATGGTGGTGGTGGTGGTGGTGGTTCTTAATTTTTAATTTAGTTTGGGGAAGTAGTTTTTTTTTTGTTTTTATAAATATGTTGATTTATTGTCTCTTTTTATATCTTGCTTTCCCATATTAGGGGTGATAGCCAAAGGGGTCCTGGTAAGAGAAAGGGGGACAAACAGAACTGGTCAAGAGGCCCCCTGGCTCCCGGCCTGTCCATCAGGAAGTAAATTTTACAGGGCACCAAGCTTTGCCCCCTAAAATCACTTAGGTGTTTTTTGCTCACACAGGCAGGTTTCTGCCACATTTGGTGTGGAGGCACTGAAGGACTTGCCTAGTGGCCTCCCATCCCGCTTCTTCCCACAACCCTTGGGCGGGGCTGGACTCAATAATTTTGAGGAAATTGAAGATGCAGTCTTCCCCTGTGAGTGACATGTCTTTAATTTTTAAAAAAACGACTATTTGAAGATTGGAAGGGGAACAATGGAAAGGGAGTTATTGCCAAATATGTTAAATATGGTTTGGGTGCTTGTGTATGTATCTTCCTCAATTTCCCCAGAAATGAGGTATCTTTTTGTCACACCAAAATCAAGGGGTAGGGAGAGGGAGGAGGTTGCAGAAAGCCAGGTGTGGGGGAAAGTAAAATCAACACTGTCTCATCCTCAGCCCTGAACCCTACCATCTGATCCCCTCAGACATTCTCAGGATTTTACAAGACTGTCAAGAGTGAGGCACCCCTCCTATTAAAGATCCGGGCAGGACTGGGGACAGGTTGGAAGTGTGATGGGTGGGGGGTGGGAGGCATGGGCCGGGGGCAGTTCTCTCCTCACTTGTAAACTTGTGTAGTTTCACAGAAAAAAAACAAAATGCAGTTTTAAATAAAGAAATTTCTTTTTTCCCTGGGTTTAGTTGAGAATTTTTTTCAAAAAAATGAGAAACCCCAGAAAAAAAATGACTTTCTTTCATAAAGCTCCAAACAGGTTTCTCCCCATCCCCCAGCCTTGCCTTCACTATGCAGGCCCCATTGCACCCTTGCAAACAACAGCCAGGCCTGAACCCTATTGATGCAACCTTGCCCAGTCAAGATGGGGCTTCAGTGCGTCACCAGGAGGCCCTGAGGGACTGATGGAATAAATATGATGGGGGGCTCTGAGGGAAAGAGAGCCTAGAGGGTACACTTCCCAACCCCCAGGAAAGTGGCTGTGCCCAGAGGCTGGCAGTGCCCAGGGGTGGGGTGATAATTATTTCTGGAGTACCTGAAGGACTCTTGTCCCCAAAGGCATGAATTCCTAGCATTCCCTGTGACAAGACTGAAAGATGGGGGCTGGAGAGAGGGTGTAGGCCCCACCTAGGGCGGTGGCCACAGCAGGCAGAAGGGCAGACAGAGCCAGGAGCCTGGAAAGAAGCAGGATGGCAGCAGGAGCAGCAGTTGGAGCCTGGGTGCTGGTCCTCAGTCTGTGGGGTGAGCCACTCCCCCCATCCCACTGACCCTCCCTGCAGAAAGCACTTTAACTCCATGCCCCAATTGCCCTAGAACTTTTCCCAGAACCTGAGGAACTGCTTTTCAAGGTCCCTCACCCACCTTGTCCAAAGTTCATTAGCCCTCATCTCCCTTCCTGCCCCTCTACCACGGTGCTGTCTCCCAGGAGCAGTAGTAGGTGCTCAAAACGTCACAGCCCGGATCGGTGAGCCACTGGTGCTGAAGTGTAAGGGGGCCCCCAAGAAACCACCCCAGCAGCTGGAATGGAAACTGGTAAGCAGGGCTCCTGCTGCAGCCTCCCAACTTCCAGGGAAACCAGCAATGATTTGCATCCCCGTCGCCCTGCCTCACAGTCCTTTCCTGAAGGCCTTGCACTGTTTAGGCCCCTCTTCTCTGCTTCCAGAACACAGGCCGGACAGAAGCTTGGAAGGTCCTGTCTCCCCAGGGAGGCCCCTGGGATAGTGTGGCTCGTGTCCTTCCCAATGGCTCCCTCTTCCTTCCAGCTGTTGGGATTCGGGATGAGGGGATTTTCCGGTGCCGGGCAATGAACAGGAATGGAAAGGAGACCAAGTCCAACTACCGAGTCCGTGTCTACCGTAAGGATTCCAGGGCCTTCTCCAAGGCCCCCATCTTATCTAAGAAAAAGCCTTCAACCCCAGCCTTGGCCCACAAGGGCCTCTGACTTCCGCTGGCCCCATTCCCACACACACAGTTTGAGAACCTTTACAGTTACAGCCTCTGATTGGATTTTTTCTCCTTCAGAGATTCCTGGGAAGCCAGAAATTATAGATCCTGCCTCTGAACTTACGGCTGGTGTTCCCAATAAGGTAGCGGAAGAAAGCGGAAGAAGTAGAAACCGGTCCTGTGAACAGGAGGGGAGTGGGTGTGGGTGTGGGCGTGTGGCATCTCTCATTTTCAAAGGACTCTGAGGTCACCACTCTTTCCCCAGGTGGGGACATGTGTGTCAGAGGGAAGCTACCCTGCAGGGACTCTTAGCTGGCACTTGGATGGGAAATCCCTGGTGCCTAATGAGAAGGGTGAGTCCTAAGGTGCCCCTCAAGCTGCTTCCTCCCTGATCTCGCTCCCATACCCACCCTGGGATAAGTCGTCTTATCTTCCCACCATAGGAGTATCTGTGAAGGAACAGACCAGGAAACACCCTGAGACAGGGCTCTTCACACTGCAGTCAGAGCTAATGGTGACCCCAGCCCGGGGAGGAGCTGCCCATCTCACCTTCTCCTGTAGCTTCAGCCCAGGCCTTCCCCGACGCCGGGCCTTGCACACAGCCCCCATCCAGCCTCGTGTCTGGGGTGAGCAGAGGTGGGGAGGGCTCCAAGCTCACATGAGCACATTCTGGAAGTCTGGCCCTCAGGGAAAGAGGGAGTCAAGCCCATGGTCACCAGGATCACTCACAGGTATAACTCTCCACCTCATAACCCTTCTAACTCCCAGAGCCTGTGCCTCCAGAGGAGATCCAATTGGTGGTGGAGCCAGAAGGTGGTGCGGTAGCTCCTGGCAGGACCGTAACCCTGACCTGTGATGTCCCTGCCCAGACCTATCCTCAAATCCAATGGATGAAGGACGTGAGTGACCTGGAGAGAGGGGCTGGGAGGTAGGGTGAACCACAGCTAGCAACAGGGAGGGAAGAGGGCTAACAAGGGAAAGGCAGGCTAGGAGCTGAGGAGGATGAGAGGGTATCTGAAGACGTGGAGACAAAAAGACAAGAGTTTTGAAATAGTCTCCTCTCCCATTCCCCCACCAGGGTGTGCCCTTGTCCCTTCCCTCCAGCCCTGTGCTGATCCTCCCCGAGATGGGGCCTCAGGACCAGGGAACCTACAGCTGTGTGGCCACACATCCCAGCCACGGGTCCCAGGAAAGCCGTGCTGTCAGCATCAGCATCATCGGTCAGAACTCTCCCCAAGCTCTAGGGACCCTGGGGCTAGGGTGAGGGACAGCACAGGCTCTAATTTCCTGCCCCATTCTGGCCTTATCCCCAAGAGCCACCCCACTTCTCCCTCCGTGTACCCACACTCAGGCCTCCCCTGCCCCACCCAAATTCTTCCAAGAGAGCAGCCAAGCCTCTCCTTCTTTCCTCTGAACTAAAGAAAGGGAAAGACTTGGCCAGGTGTAGTGGCTCACACCTGTAATCCTAGCATTTCGGGAGGTGAAGTGGGCAGATCACCTGAGGTCAGGAGTTCAAGACCAGCCTGGCCAACATGATGAAACCTCATCTCTACCAAAACTACAAAAATTAGCTGGGCATATTGGTGGACACCTGTAATCCCAGCTACTCGGGAGGCTGAGGCAAAAGAACCGCTTAAACCTAGGAGGCAGAGTTTGCAGTGACTTAAAATTGTGCCACTGCACTCCAACCTGGGCGACAAGAGTGAACCTCCGTCTCAAAAATAAACAAAAAATGAAAGAGAGACTCAACTGGGGCTCCCACTAAATAAACCTCTCTCTAACTGGATCTAACTTTGTCTTCCAGAACCAGGCGAGGAGGGGCCAACTGCAGGTGAGGGGTTCGATCAAGTCAAGGAAGCAGAAGATAGCCCCCAACACATGTGACTGAGGGGATGGTCAATAAGAAAGGAATGGTGAGTGGTGAGGGCTGTGTTCTCAATTTTCCCCGTCTCTCTACAGGCTCTGTGGGAGGATCAGGGCTGGGAACTCTAGCCCTGGTCCTGGGGATCCTGGGAGGCCTGGTGACAGCCGCCCTGCTCATTGGGGTCATCTTGTGGCAAAGGCGGAGACACCGAGGAGAAGAGAGGTGAGTGGAGAAAGCTAGACCCTTCAGACCTAGGGCTTCCAGGCAGCAAGCGAAGGGGGGCTGGAGGGTGGAATGACAATGTGCAGCACTCCCCCCAATCTTCCTCCTCAGGAAGGCCGCAGAAAACCAGGAAGAAGAGGAGGAGCATGCAGAGCTAAATCAGTCGGAGGAACCTGAAGCAGGCGAGAGTGGTACTGGAGGGCCTTGAGGGGCCCACTGACAGATCCCATCCATCAGCTCCCTTTTCTTTTTCCCTGGAATCGTTCTGGCCCCAGACCAAGTCTCCTGTATTATCTCTCCTGTATAACCCCACCTTGCCAAACTTTCTTCTACAACCAGAGCCCCCCACAATGATGAATAAACACCTGACACATCTTGCCCTTGTGTGTCTGTGTCTGTGTGAGAGACAACCTCACCCCTACACCCTTGAGGGCCCTGAAGGAAAGGGACTCATCCCCACATTTCCCCATACTACACCAAACATCTACTCAAACTGGGGAGGAGATGCTTCTGTTGAGGGAGTGAAGGAGAAAGGGAGGGAGGGAGGGAGGGAGGGCGAACTTGGGAAGAGATCCCATCAATACATTTCACCTTTTTTATTGAATTTGTATTAAAGGAGGTAGTGAGGAAGAGGAAGCACTTAAGAGTCAGAATCCATATTAGACTCTGGGGAGTGAAAAATTAAATTAAATCAGTAAGACGGGGAGTGGGGGAGAGTCAAAGGGAGCCTTGCCCACCTTTCAAGATCAAATCAAGAAATCAGGGAAAGCAAAGACTCAGAAAAGGAGAAAGACATTCTCTCAGTCCATCCTCCTCCCCCAGGGCAGACGATTACAATATTACTGAGTGAGCCTCTGAGGAGAAGACTCTCCCATCCTATGTCTAGACGTCCCTAAGCCGTCCTGCAGAATGGCCAGGGCTGGCCTTAGCCAACAGAAATAGAGGGGTCAAGGGGATCCAGGAGTAAGGAAGGGTCAGCAGGGACCCCCAATACTGATTCTCCTCTGGCTGGAGGTGGGCAGGAAGGAGTTATAGCTCAAATACTGAGCAGCCAAAAAAAGAAGAAGATGGCGAGAAACAGGAAGAGGGAATCCTGCCAGCTGGAGGCCGGGTGACCCTGTCCCAGATCCACACCTGTGGGAGAGAGGAAAGCTGTGGAAGCACATGCTCCTAGGCTGGGAGGGGGCCTGAGGGGACTGACAGGGCTCCCTGATGGAAGCTGAGTGTGACTCTTACCTGTACCCCGGCGGAAAGGCTCATGGGTATTGAAGACGGTGGTGAAAAAGCCAAAGGGAAAAGCACCAACACCAAATGAGAAGTGGAAGCCCCCGGTATCACCAAATGGCTGGAATCCCTAGGGAGGTAGAAAAAGTCAGAGGGGAAGCAGGCAAATTTGTCAAGGAAGAGACACAACTGGACAAGAAGACTCACCTCTCTGCTCTCTGGAGCTGGTCTCTGGCCCTGGGGACGGGGTGGAGTTTTTAATCTGAGGAAGAAGAGAGAGGAGATTAACAGGGAATTTTCTCCTCTCCTCTTCCACACCGTTTACCAAGGGCAAAAACCTTCTATCTTCCCTAAGCAACACCTCCAGTCTCTCACCTGGGATCCTGGGGCTTCTGGCTCCCTCGCCCATAAAGCGGGACAACCTTCTCTCTGCTGATCCCAGCTTTACACACTGGACACTCTTGCCGCTCTGGCCGTGTCTCCAGCCACTGGGGAGAAAAAAAGTGGTTTCCAGTACACAAGAGGGTCTTCCAGCTCCTCAGACCTTCCCATGTCCCTCTTCATATCCTGAGTACCCACCTGATGAAGACATGGCCAACTGCATGGGGGAAAAAAAAAAAAAAGGTTAAAATAGCTACAGAAAAGAGACACACAGACCCCAGACTTTGCATAATCCGATCTCACCCCTCTTCCCAGGCATTACCTGCTGTTGCTTTTCAGATTTTCTGCAACCTCTACCATGCCAGCCAACTTGGCCTTCCTGCTAGTCTGATCTTCCAACACCTAAAGCTCTGTCCATCCTCAACAATACTCAACCTCTCTTTTCTCCTCTCCCCAACAAACACACACAAATTTTCGTGCCCTCTCTTTTCTGCCTTTCAAGTTAATTTCTAATTCCCTTCAGCCATCTCTTTCCAGGTCTCCTTTTTTTAACTCCAACCCCATCACTCCAAACCAAACTCCTTTACTAGCACATTCCCCCATTACTCCTTTTCCTCATTTTCAAGCTAAATAATGTCCCTATCTTTACAACCCTTTAACCTCTCAACTCTGCCCCACCACAGGGCCCTTGTCCCCAGGTTTGTCATAACAACCCCCTCCCAGATCTCATCTGAATATGATTCATATTCCCTGGTTCTCCCCAACTCAATTGATACGTGCCTCCCCTAACCTTTGCGTCTCATCTGTTTCCACCTGCACACCTAAGAACCCTCCGTTCTCTGGGGTAAGGTGGCTCGGGTCTCTCACTGTCCCGCCACTCCCCGCTTCACCTCCTCTTCTCAGCACATCACATGCCCCAGGCTCCTGGTTCTTAAGACCTTCCTTTCCACAGATCTCGACGGTACAGACATTATCGTCCCACCCACAACATACCAGCAAAGTCGTATGTCTGTCTCCCGTCGGGCGTCACCTATGGGACCTGCCCTCTGATTATCTGTATGACTGTATGATTCCTCTCTCCTAGGCTCCCCAGTAATAAGTCCACCGCCTTCCACTCCGGCCCCCCCCCCCCGGTCGATTCTCACCAGTACAGGTGGCCACACACACTGACCACAGCTTCCCGGGCAGTCTCCAAACATATATTACATTCGAAGGTCGCGCCCGCCCCGCCCCGCTCGCGATTTGGCCCTTCGGGGCCCCCGTCCTCCTCCTCCGCTGCTGCCATTGCCGGTTTTGTTTCGCCCCACGTACCCTTCAGTCCCCCCAAATACACAAACACACGCCCCAACCAGAAACCACCTCCTGCACACGATCGTTGGGCAGGCTTCAAGGTTCCCTAATGACTATTGGTACGAGCGCCTGCCAGTCACAAAGATTCAAAAGAAACGATTGGCCCAAAGGGTGGGGGCGGGAAAAGGTTAGTGCGGTCCTGCCTTCGCCCAGTGGCTATTGGCTGATTCCGTCGAAGTCAATGTGCAGTGCCAAGGGATTGGTAATAACTCGCTACACTTGTCGCCTGGCCAGGGAGGGCTTTATTCGTCTGAGTAGTTGCCAGTCATAACCAAAGCCAGAAGCAGTTTGCTTGGGACTACCTATAGGCCTCACCCACTATCAGCCCCTTTCTTTCCTTCGTTTCCTCTTTTAGAGAATGTCCGGATTCCTGTTGGACTTTGGAGCGTAAGGCTCCAAAGCAACTCATTGGCTAGAACTTGACGGAAAATGATGGTTAAGTAAAATGCGCCGGCGCAGCACGCGGCGAGACGGGGGTGGGCCAGTCTTGTGAGGGTTGAACCTTCTGTTGTTCCACCCCTTCACCCTTATCTGTCGCCATGGTGACTGCTCTACAGTTGGCGAGGTTCGCAGTTCAAAGTCTTCGGCTCGTTTCATCCGGGTCCTTCAGCTGTGGACTTTCTGCTGATTGGACCTTTTCCTTCGCCCCTGATTGGCCGGCATTGGGAAAGACGGCGAAGAGCTAGGGAAAGAGGGAAACGCTAGAGTCGCAGGGTTCAAAATGGCTTCAGCCTTCTTGGGTGACGTAGAGAGCAGAGCTTGGGTCTGCCACTCCCTTTTTGTGAAGGGAGCCGAACTGGGATAAGCCCGACGTTTGGATAGTGCGAACATCGATCTGCGGCGCTGGTGTTAACCCAACGCATTCGGCTGGACGACTCAGCCCTCCCCACTTTAGGTGATTTACAGAGCAAAACCAAACTAAAGACCCACACGTTTCTTAATGTGGCACAGAGTAGAACAGGATTGACTTCAACTCTTGTTTTAAACCTTAAGAGCAGAAAAGCTCTGGCCTCACCCCCTTTGTAAGTGGTGCAGAAGGGGCAAGGCCCGCCCCTTTTAGGGAGACCCGCGGGGTTTAGACCCGCCCCTTCCTCCTTATAATTTTCCCAGCAGAAATAGAGTCTTCCAGGGCTGGACCCCTGGGAGTCTGGGCCTTTCCTATAATCACTGACCCTCACTGTGGCCTAAGGAGCAAAACTAGGTAAAAGCCCTCCCACTACCAGTCCTCTTCCCGAGGGCATGTAACTCACGAAGGGTAAAGGTGTGGCTAGAGGCGGGACCTTGATAAAAGGTCCCATGTGACTCAAGAGTAAGGAAAGATGAGAAGTTAGCAGTTGCGTAAAGAAGGACTGGGGCAAGTGAAAACAAGGTTTAGGAAGGAAAATACTGAGAGGGAAAGGTGGAAATGAAGAGTGAGGTGATGGAATGATCCTATTAAAGGGATAATGGGAGTGGAGGAAGAGAAGAGGGGGTGGAAAACTAGATACATGGCTACCGAGGAATCGTCATTCTTCCTCACTTTTTTTCTGCAAAACAGCCCTAAAGCCCAACTTCCATTGGAAGAAAAGATGTACCCATATTGTATGTTGTGAGAAGGGGCTGTCTCAGCTTGGGCAAGTAAGGACTGATAGGAAGGAAGTAGGAAAGAAAAAGTACAGAGATAGGCCGAGCGTGGTGGCTCACGCCCGTAATCCAAGCACTTTGGAGGCCAAGGCGGGCGGATCACCTGAGGTCGGGAGTTCAAGACCAGCCTGACCAACATGGTGAAACCCCGTCTTAAAAAAATAAAAAAAGAAAAAGAAAAACGAGAAAGAGAGAGAGCACTGACTGGCACAGCAGAAGGGCTGCCCTTGCCCAGGACCACGCTGGCGCCAGCTGCTCTGGAAACTGCTGATGCCCTGGGACCTGCAGCACCACTCCCANAAAAAAAAAAAAAAAGCACAGAGGTAAAAGAGCATGGAAAGGAAAGGGTAAGGGATAAGGCTAAAGAGATCTCTTTACAGGTCAGAGAGGGTGGGTGGAGGAGGGAGATGGACTGCTGGGAGATAGCGGGGGACAAAGGGCAAAGAAACCAGACCAGAGGGCTGGAGAGTGAGGTGAGATGAGATGGAGCCCTGGAGAGAAAAAAAAGAGAGGTGAACTTAATGCTTGGCACTGGTAGGTAGGTGATTGATAAATATTTAGAATTGAATGGGGGACGGGAAAAGGGGTCCTTGAGAATAGTTGAGGGGAATAAGCAGCAGATAACCAGAGTTGAGAAAAAAAGAGACCAAGTAAAAGTGGCAGTAAAAAGAGAGCTGATGGAGAATAAAGGAAGGAATGTGCCGAAGGAGGAATACAGCACCAAGGGATCCAGAGCCGAAAGGGGGTGAGAGAAAAAAAGATGCAGCTGGAGCCAGGGAAGAGCACAGACGGAGGAAAAGCGCAGCTGAGCTGTCCTGGGGCGGGGCTCGCAAAAGGATATTGGTGGTAGAGGTGGGGAGGAGGTGGGGGGGGCGCCTGAGTTTCTGGGAAACGATTGGCAAAACGGGCTGCCCATCACCGCCCTCCACTTCCTGGCCAGCCCCGGAAACCAGCAGGCGTTGGGGAGGGGTGGAGGGGGAATAGCGGCAGCAGCAGCCCCAGCCCTCAGAGAGACAGCAGAAAGGGAGGGAGGGAGGGAGGGTGCTGGGGGGACAACCCCCCACCATTCCTACCGCTATGGGCCCAACCTCCCACTCCCACCTCCCCTCCATCGGCAGGGGCTAGGACACCCCCAAATCCCGTCGCCCCCTTGGCACCGACACCCCGACAGAGACAGAGACACAGCCATCCGCCACCACCGCTGCCGCAGCCTGGTTGGGGAGGGGGCCAGCCCCCCAGGCCCCCCACCCCACTGAGGTGTGGGCGGGAAAGGGATGGGAGGAGGAGGGAGGAGGGTGCTGAAAGGGACTAGGATGAGGGGAAGGGGAGAAATTGGGTCTGGGAGGGCCGACTGGGGGAGAGGGTTGCTGGGGAAAGGAGAGGGGCCGCCTGGGAAGAGGGTTGCTGGGGAAAGGAGAGGGGACCTGAGAGGGAGGAAGGATGGAAGAGACACGGGAGGGAGGAGAAATGGAAACCCTTGTGAATTTGGGACTGGGAGTGTGCACAGGGAATCCTGGAGTGGGAATTCTCTACACCTTCCTCAATTCCTTTTCTTGCCCTTTGACCCCACATGACTCTTGAGGGGTCATTAAGGGAGAAGGCCAGCAGAATTTGCCTCTTAAAAATACCCCTAGGTGCCTCTGTTTCCATCTGGGCACAGGACCTCTTGTTTCTCAGTGGCCTTCCACACTGCTAGACCCTTACTGACACACAAATGCCTTATGGGAGCCATGTTTTCTACATTGAGTCTGTGTGCCTTTGACATGTTTAATGGCTTGTGTGCAACTAGGTTGTCCCTATGCTATCCATAGGCTGTGTAGAAATTATGTGTTATTTTCTATCAGAATTGCCCATTCTCCATTCTTGTGTCCATGTCTCACATCCAGTTTTGACATGTTCAAGTACCACATGAGTGTGAGTTTTCATGTATCGCACGTGATCTATGGTTTCATGTTACTTGCATGTTTTATGTTTTTGCATGTTTATTTCAGCATGTGAAAGTTATAGACCTTATTTTGCTTTGGCTGACATGTCCATGGTCCTACCATATGCACTAGTCTTCATGTGTAGGATCCCATGGCTTGGTTGAATAGCCCACACTCTCATGTTTGATTGAATTGGCCTGTTTGCTATGTTTTCCCAGTCACAGTTCACATCACACATGTGCATGCCCCTTTGCATGATACACTGAGGTAACAGGACCATAGAATGTGTGCTATAAATTTATCATCAGTATCTTTTGTGAGCTATATGCTCATTAAATTTGGCCCTCCATTGCATTTCTAAATCCTTGGACTTTTGTTCTCCAAAGAAGGTCACTTAATATCAAGTGTTAGAGAAGAAGGTAACTGAGTCTCCAGGTCTGCAAAGAACCATCCCTGCATTCCTTACCTCGGTGACCTCCCTGGCCTGTGCCCCTCTACACAAACATCTTTCCAGTGGCTGTGTACAGTCTGTGTCCACGAGCTCCGTGTATGTCACAGGGTTAACCCTGCTGTGAACCCCATCATTGGTATTTATTTATGGACATTATCCTCCATTCTTTGCACTGTTGGCACATTTGATGAGAGCAGCATCTTTCCCTGTGGCATGTTGATCCCATTCTGTACATTTCTCTTGTGAGATGACCTCTTCCTGATTATTGTCACTCTGCCTTCATTATGGCCATGTATTACATGATCTATTCAGAGCCGGTTACCATTAGGCTTAGTGTGTTCGTTACTTTCTCAGTGACTTTTAGTAGTCAATACTACTCAGGAGGGTAACTATCTGATTTGTGATCAGAACTGCCATCTCATTAATTGTAGGTCTGTGGGTGTGTATGCAGCCTTAAAATCTGTTCAGCAAGTGTTTATTGACCACCTACTCTATCTCCTATTGTCTTGGCATCAGAGATAAGACAGAGTCCCTGTCCTTAAGCTGCTTACAGCCTAAGGAGGGAAACAAAAATGTCAGCACATAGTGTGTTGTCAAGATCAGTGGTTCTTAAATTCAAGCGCACACCAGACTCACCAGAGGGCTTGTTAAAATACAGATTGCTAGCCAGCCATGATGGCTCATACCTGTAATCCCAACACTTCAGAAGGCTGTGGCTGGAGGATCACTTGAGATCAGGAGTTCAAGACCAACCTGAGTGACAGAGTTAGAAAAAGAAAAATAGATTGCTGGGCCTAATGCCCATAATTTCTGATTCAGTGGATCCGGGTGAAGTCTAATAATTTGCATTTCTACACTTCAAGACCCACTGATCAGAATAAAAGTGTAATGAAAGCACAGGCCTGCAGGGTTTCAGGAAGACCTCCAAAAGATGACACTGAACTGTGGGAGGCAGGAGAAGAGGTGGGCATTCCAGCCAAAGGGAACAGCATGTTCAAGGTGCAGATGCATTAAAGATCATGGTATCTGAGGAACTGAAGTGAATCAGTTTGGAGCAAAAAGAAAACGTTTTGTGAGGATGTGGTCGAAGCAGAAGTCAACCTGTCAAGAAGAGCCTTTAAGCAAGACAGGGAAATGCTCTGTGTTTCAGAAAACTCTGTGTTAACAGAAAAAACTTTGTGTTAATATTTTTTCTGTGTTAACAGAAAAATCTCTGGTTGCTACGTGGAAGATGGATTGGAGGGAGTTAGGAGCCTACTGCACATAATTCCGGGGAGAAATGATGCTGTTCTGAACTTGTAGGGGCAGTGGGATAGAGCAGCTCAGAGAGCCTACAGTATTCCAGCTGGCAGGGTCTCCTGTTTCCTCTATTGCCTGTTACCTTCTCGCTTGGCAATGGGCTTACCTTTGAGCACAGCCCTTCCTATCATGGGAAGACAGTGCCTGTCGCCTCAGTAGAAATGACAGGTATTTGCCTGAACCCCCTTTTTGTGAATTGTTACCCTGCCCCCAGCAGTGGGGCAGAGTGGAGGAAGGAGGAAGAACCTAGAACACAGGTTCTGTGTTCCTGCCCCTCTTCCTCTTGAGCCGTTTCCTCTGCCAGGGCAGGTGCTGTTATGTCCCCTTTACTCCCTGCCCTCCTTTTTTCACTTGGTGAGAACTTACACACTGTACCTGCCCACACAAAGTGTCACTAGAAGGAAGGAAAAGGGTAGTAGGATTTGTGTTCCTGTCTGGAGGTAGGATTGGTCTTATAGCTATTCCAGGTATGTCCATGAGTTTACCTAGGAATGGGGCAGCTGCCTGGGTGGAGAGGGATTTTTCTAGTTATACATTTACATTCCTTTATCTGTCACTGGGCGTAATTATAAATTTGTGTCTGTGTATGAACATGTTAATCCTTGTATGACTGTGTGTTGGCATTAGTGACACGAACCTTTAATCTTGCTATTTGGTCCCTGGGTATATGGCTGTGGGTGCTTTGTCACTATCGCCATATCTGCTGTGTGCTGTGTTGGTATATATACGTGCAGTACCTACCGGTGTCAGTGTAACCAAGTAGTTAGGAACACAGGCAGCTTAGATTTAACCTAGAAACTGCTGTTTAGGAGCTGTATGACCTCAGGTAAGTTATTTAGCCTCTCTGGGCCTATTAAGTATAAAATGTAAATAATAATACTTTCAAGACTATTGTATGGATCATTTTAAGAGTTTAACTTAATGTATAGACCAGTGCTGTTCTACAGAAATATAATGCAAGCCACATGTGTAATTTTTTTTCTGGTAGCCACATTTTTAAAAGGCAAAAAGAGTGAAATTAATTTTAATAACATATTTTCTGGAATCTGATACATCCAAAAGATTATAAAAATGTAGTCAGTATAAAAGATTAATAATGGGATATCTTACATTTGGTTTTTTATTCTGTCTTTGAAATCTGATGTGCATTTTACATTCCCAGCACATCTCAGTTCAGACTATCTGCATTTCAAGTGCTCAGTAGCCACTTGTAGGTGGTGGCTACCTTCTTGGGCAGCACAAGTATAGACCATTATAAGACCTTACCAGCTACAAGCATTAGCTATCATTCTTTTTTTTTTNGTTTCTATGCCTTTCATAGCAAATATCCATAGTCTTATCAATGAAATTATAACATTTAGTCTAATTACGTGAAAGGTGAAAGTTTTTTTTTGTTTTTTTTTGAGGTGGAGTTTCTTGTTGCCCAAGCTGGAGTGTAATGGCATGATCTTGGCTCACTGCAACCTCTGCCTCCCAGGTTCAAGCAGTTCTCCTGCCTCAGCCTCGCTAGTAACTGGGATTACAGGTGCACGCCACCATACCCGGCTAATTTTTTGTATTTTTAGTAGAAACAGGGTTTTACCATGTTGGCCAGGCTGTTCTCAAACTCTTGACCTCAGGTGATCCGCCTGCTTCCACCTCCCAAAGTGCTGGGATTATAGGTGTGAGCCACTGTGCCCAGCTGAGCTATCATTCTTATTGTCATTTATTATCAGACGTCTGTGAGTTGTAGATGTCCATGTCTTGTGCCTCTTGTCTGAATACATAAGGAGCTTTTGGGAAGAGGGGTGGGAGAGCATTCCTGAGCTCCCTGTCTACCACCCTCATCCTAGAGAGTTTACTGGGAAGGTTTCAGTGGAACTGTGTCTCTGGCCCTTGTCCTCATAGCACCAACCCCCAACCCTGCTAATGTGCCTTGCCTATCCCACTCTCCTCCAGAAATCAGGCTGATTGTCCCCTGCCCCATCCCCTGCAGGTGGCCAGAATGGAGTTGTGGCCAGGGGTATGGATGCTGCTGTTCTTCCTGCTGTTGCTCTTCCTGCTGCCCACCCTGTGGTTCTGCAGCCCCAGTGCCAAGTACTTCTTCAAGATGGCCTTCTACAATGGCTGGATCCTCTTCCTGGCTGTGCTTGCCATCCCTGTGTGTGCCGTGCGAGGACGCAACGTCGAGAACATGAAGTGAGAGGCAAGGGGTGTTGGGCGATGAGGGAACCTAAGGGTACGAAGTGAGTAGTGGAGTGGGGGAAGGGGGCGCAGTGTGTGTGGAAGAGACTGAGAGACCAGAGGACTGCAAAGGTGGTCAGAATGGGGAGAGGACTGCAAAGATGGTCAGAAAGACAGCAGGGTGGGGGGAGCTGAGGCATGCAGATGGACATCAATGGATCCCACTGGGACCCCTTGCCATGACCCCACAGGATCTTGCGTCTAATGCTGCTCCACATCAAATACCTGTACGGGATCCGAGTGGAGGTGCGAGGGGCTCACCACTTCCCTCCCTCGCAGCCCTATGTTGTTGTCTCCAACCACCAGAGCTCTCTCGACCTGCTTGGTGAGATCCCACCACAGGGCACACCTCCCCCAGCCATACCTCCCCTGCTGGAACCTTCCCTAGAATCTCCTCTCCTAAAGATCCTCAATTCCCCTTCCTCTGGGACATTGCCCCCTTGCCTCCCTCTAAGGCCTTCATTCCCTGGGATAGAACTGCTCTCATAAGCAGGGTACATATACCTTTGGTCACCCTTTCCTTCACTTGGGGCTCGCCCTGCCTAGTCTCCTTCATCTCCAGTCCCTACCAGAGTGGGTGATGATCTGGGTGAGGTGGGTTGCCTTCTGTGACACTCTGCCTCCACCCTGATCCTCACCCACCCCCATCCTGCCCAAGGGATGATGGAAGTACTGCCAGGCCGCTGTGTGCCCATTGCCAAGCGTGAGCTACTGTGGGCTGGCTCTGCTGGGCTGGCCTGCTGGTTGGCAGGAGTCATCTTCATCGACCGGAAGCGTACGGGGGATGCCATCAGTGTCATGTCTGAGGTCGCCCAGACCCTGCTCACCCAGGACGTGAGTCATCCTGGGGAAATGGGGGATTGGAGGGATAGAGAGTAGAAGAGTTGTAAATAAACTGATATGCAGGGCCAATGGGCCTCAGGGGTCCCATTGTAACATCACACCTACTCTGACTCCTCCATATGTATTTGTCTTCCTTGACCCTCTTTCTCCCCCAGGTGAGGGTCTGGGTATTTCCTGAGGGAACAAGAAACCACAACGGCTCCATGCTGCCCTTCAAACGTGGCGCCTTCCATCTTGCAGTGCAGGCCCAGGTGATTACTGCTGTCCCTTCTGCTACTCAGCCGCTAACCCATACCATTCCCTCATCTCTGGGAAGGGGCTTACTGTAGGGGTCTCAGAAGAGAGCTGTGAACTGATTTGCTTTACCCCTTCCCCAGGTTCCCATTGTCCCCATAGTCATGTCCTCCTACCAAGACTTCTACTGCAAGAAGGAGCGCCGCTTCACCTCGGGTGAGGGCTTTGAGCAGGTCTGGGATAGGGTGTGTCCGGAGAGGCTGGGAGGACATCCCTGTGAGGCAGGGGGATCATTCAGTGTCAGAGCCATGAGATGTCCACACAGTCACCTAGCCTGACTCCACATCAGCCAATAAGTCTTTACCAAGCATGACCATACCCTGCCAGATAGGTAGCACTTAGTCCCAAGAGAGGCTGTTATTAATCTAGCAGGAAAGGTAAGGCCTGTGTGCACAAAGCTGTAATGAGTAACACTCATTCAGCAGTAAATGCCAAGTCCAGATGAGGAGCTGGAGGGGTGCTGAGGAGATGTCTGGACTGGGGATTGGAGAAGGCTTTGTACAGAAGAGCCTCAGAAAACTGGTGGCAGCCGACAGGCCCAGGGATGGTTGTCCAGGGTTGGGGGAAGAGAACTGAAAGGTTGAGGAAGAGAGTGTCGCTCAGAAGCTGGGCCCCACCTGTGGGCAAAGACCTGGGTGGACAGGCCATGATGGTGCTCCCCTTGCCCCAGGACGATGTCAGGTGCGGGTGCTGCCCCCAGTGCCCACAGAAGGGCTGACACCAGATGACGTCCCAGCTCTGGCTGACAGAGTCCGGCACTCCATGCTCACTGTTTTCCGGGAAATCTCCACTGATGGCAGGGGTGGTGGTGACTATCTGAAGAAGCCTGGGGGGGTGGGTGAACCCCGGCTCTGAGCTTTCCTCCCAAGTGTCCCCATTTTCTTACCCACGCCTACCTACCCAGTGGGCCCTGAAGCAGGGCCAAGCCCTCTTCCTTGTCTCCCCTCTCCCCACTTATTCTCCTCTTTGGAATCTTCAACTTCTGAAGCGAATGTGGATACAGTGCCACTCCTGCCCCCTCTTGGCCCCACCCATGGACTCTTGCCTCGGTGCAGTCTCCACTCTGACCCCCACTCTGACCTGCCATCTTCTCTGTGGCACAGTTGCCTCCCCCTCATCCGCAGTGGCTCAGCCTACACAAGGGTGGGGAACATTCCATCCCCAGTGGAGTCTCTTCCTTTGTGGTCTTCTCTTCCTTTCCACCCCACATTGGCCAGTGGACTCATCCATTCTGTGGAACAATTCTCCCCCACTCCAAAGTCCATGGATTCAATGGACACATCCGTTTGTGAGGAGGACTTCTCGCCCTGTGACTAGAAGCCAATACCTGGAACACTCCTCCCAGGCTCAACCTGGGAGCTTTCCTCAGCACCTTCACCTTCCCTCCCAGTGGAGCCTCCTGTCAGTGGGGGCTGGACTCTTCTAATTCAGAGGTCACATGCCTGCCCTTGCCCAGATGCCCAGGGTCATGCACACTCCAGGATACCAGTTCGGTCTCCACATTTCTGCTTTTCTCTATCCCCATGGTACCATTCTTCAATGGTCCTGACCCCACCCAACCCCCTGCAGCCCTGCTGCACCATCTCACCAGACACAAGGGGAAGAGGCAGACATCAGGTGCTGCGCTCACTTCTGCTCCCTGGGAAGTTGGGGAAAGGAACTGAACCCTGGCTGGAGAGGATAGGAGGGCTTTTAATTTATTTCTTTTTCTGTTGAGGCTTCCCCCTCTCTGAGCCAGTTTTCATTTCTTCCTGGTGGCATTAACCACTCCCTGCCTCTCACTCCAGACCTGTTCCCACAACTGGGGAGGTAGGCTGGGAGCAAAAGGAGAGGGTGGGACCCAGTTTTGCGTGGATGGTTTTTATTATCTGGATAACAGCAAAAAACTGAAAATAAAGAGAGAGAGAGAGATCTGGGTGCTTGGTGGTTACATTTGTTATTGAAGAAACAGTTCTTGCCCAGGCAATCTGCCCCCAGCCAGAAGACTCAGGGATGGGCCAACAACACCAGCCTCCGCCTTCCTTCAGCTCTCTGAAGTTTCCATTGCTCATTGCTCTTTGGTGGCTGATAGCCTTATCTGCAGCTCATAGTTGGCCAAGCCCAGAGGATTTGTGAGTCCAGTTTCTGTATAAATTAGGTGGCAGGGGTGCTGTAGAGGCTCCTTATCAATGATTGAGGCCAGGGCCCAGGCTGTTGTCCTCACAGGAGCCTGGTTAATGACATGACAGAGACTGGCTGTGGTCAGCCTGGAGTGGACTACACTGCCACTCTCACCAAACAGTAAGTGGAACTATTGGGCTCCAGACAGGATTTCAGAAGAGAAGAATGGGGAAGTGGAGAGATCCTGGGAAGGTATGATAGTGAATGTTGGAGAAGGGCATGGAGAAAAGAGGGCAGGCTCGAAAGGGAGGGGTCTTGGGGAAAGTTGGGGAATACAGGTCAAGGCAGGGAGGAGCATGAGGACTCACAGGCACCCAGCCTCTCCTCCAACAGCAGCACCTGGTCGCTGAGAGATTCGATCCGGTCACCCCGGCCCCATAGCTCAGCCACCTGTTCTGGCTGCAGCTCTTCAGGCGGCACGGGCAGCACCGCTCGGACCCAGGCCCCAGCCTGACCGGCCCACTACAAAGGAAGAGTTGCCTCAGGGTATTGATAGTGAGGTCTGGCCTCGCCCCAGCCCGCAGGCTTGGCTCACCTGCTCCAGCCGCTCCAGGCGCCCTCGCAGCTCACGAATTTGAATCTCTCGCTTCAGAGCGCGCTCGTCGTTTTCCGCCTCCCGAACTAGGGACAAAGGAGACCAAGAGCGTGACCGCTGCCCGACCCCAGACGTCTGTCCCAGGTCGCCGCGGTGGCCCGTACTCCTGCCCGCTCACCGGCCACGCTGAGTATGCTGGCACTGGTTGGGGGCTCTGGGGACCCCTCCTTGCAGGTGCGTCCGTCCAGGCCTAGCACTAGGTCGTGGGGGCAGCCGCAGGTGAAGCTTCCGGCCGTGTTAAGACAACGGTGCGAGCAGAGGGTGACGCTGGTCCTACATTCATCCACGTCTAGTTACCGAAAAGAGGAAGGGGCTGAGAGAGGGGGCGGGGGCAAGCGCCTGGGTAGGTGGGGAGGTCAGGGAGCCCTCGCTGGGGAAGGCTGAGTCGACTCACCCACATGACAGTGCTTCCCTCCCCAGCCGGGGGCGCACTCGCACCGGTCGGGCCGAACGCAGACGCCTCCGTTAAGGCAAGGCTTGGCGCAGATGGCTGTGGACAGAGGAAGTGGGGTTCAGACTCGAACCGATAGCCCCCAGCTCCGTGGAGCGCGCCTCCCGCAGCGCCTGGAAGACCCAGCCTCACCTTCACAGGTGAGCGCCCCCGGGTGCCGCTTCTTCCAGCCCTGGCAGCACACTGTATGGGTCTGCTGCACCTCCCGCCTCACCTCCCGCCACGTAACGCGGTAGGTGGTCCTGGAACACAGCGACTGGCTCAGGACCCTGAGGACGGGTCCTGGTCGCGGTTCTTGGGGTCCCATCTCCTCATCCCTCACCTGTAAGTGCTGCAAATGCGCCTTCCAGCACACAAGGTCAGGTAGGGCTTGTACACTGGTTGGCTGTAGGACTCGTTGTAGCGGAGCGGGACCACCACTGTCTGCTTGGAGCAGACTCCCGGACTGCGTCCATGCCAGAGGATGAGGTGGGAGACATTGAGTAGGCCACGCCCTGGGGAGCCAGGAGTCCCACTTCCCTGAACGGGCTATTGAGGCCCCGCTGTCCCTCCAGATGACACCCTCTCACCCCCCTTCTAAACTCGCAGTTCTGTTTGCCTGTGAAGTCCCACCCCCAATAGAAGGCTCCCGAGAAGAGGTCACCCCAGGCCCCACCCCCACTGTTGTCACCTCTCTCTGAGAGATCCACCCTTGGCCCGCTTGCCTGACATCAGTAGCAGGAGGAACGAGAGTCCGCCTAATAGAGTGCACAGCTCAGCCCTGGACCCCATGATTCTCTTTGACTCCGGACCCTTTGGGCTGCCCGAAAGAAAAGGTTAATGGATGCCATTCCCCTCTCCTATTAATTTCTCCAGCACTAGCCCCTCCAAGGGCACTCTGCTGGTGCCCTCTAAGGGAGTCAGGACATTCACTTTTACATACTAGCCACCAGGATTGCCTACACCTGTGTGTACACCCAACACTATCCTATCCTTAGCATATCATGATCCATTCAGCATCATAAAACTCACACCCCAGCACACCCCCTCCACCTCCGCTCTAACCTTTTTACTTCTAATGCCCTCTGCACAATCTGGAGGGACAGTCAACCCTCCCCTTATGGCACTCCTGTCTTTAACATGCTCTCTTATAACTTCATACCTTCAAAACGCTAGCTATACACCCTCACACCATACACACAAACCAAGCACCTGGAAACCACACCTTACACACACTGCTACTCCCCTCACACACCATCACATACACCCTAAATGCTCATCCCTTGCTCCAACAAAACACCCCTCAACTCATGCCCCCCCCAAGTCTCTGAGTAAACCCCACTCTTTCCCCATTGAAATTCTCTCCCCATTCCCACCTGGCTTCTTTCTCCTACGAGGCTTCAGGCAGAGCAGCCTCAGCAGAAGCAGCTCAGACTAGTGGGTAGACCTGGCGGGCTAAGAGGGAGAGGAGGGGCTGGCCAAGAGTCCTCCCATTCCTGCCCCCTCCCACAAGCCTCCTCCTCAGCTCCAGCTGGGTCAGCTTAGTAGGGTCAAGTCCCTCTACCCTCATCTCCACCCCAACAAAGAGCTCCCTAGAAGTGTCTTTCCAACCCTGTGAGGCCCATTTCTGGACTCCCCAAATCAGAAGATAGAAGCTCTGTAACACCACCAGTACCCCCTTTAACACTACACAGACTAGGGGAGAGTTGGGGGGCAGGGAGAGAAACAGCTGCAAGGAACAAAGCAGGTCAGGTCATGGGAGAAGCAAGATCAGCTGAGGAAAGACAGAAGGGCAAGTCGTCACAAAGGGGCAGGAGGGCAGCCCAGGGCACCAAGGGGGAAACTGTCCCCCTCTCTTGATGACATTTGTTAGGGCTTAGGGGGAACAAAATTGAGTCAGCCACCACCCCCCATGCCAGAGCAGACAGGGCTCTATTGTCTCAGCCAAAATTTCTTCTTTCAAGAAGAGAAGGCTCATTGTCCAGCCCTACACCCAGCTCTGGCCCACAAAGCTCAAAAGGGGCACAACAAATGCCCACCCTGACCCTCGGCCCCCTCGTCTAGCCTGGGGGTGGCAAGCGCATTCCACCCATGAGGCTGAGGCCCAAACCACTGGAGCCCTGAGCTTAGCCCCCCAATCTTGGGGACTGGGAGAGGAAGAGAATTGTCTTCGGCAGGAAAGAACCCGCAGAGGATCAGGAACCCACAAAGAATGGGCATTGAGAGAGAGCGGAAACACCAAGGGGGTCCCCACCCTAGACCAGGAATCTGGGCACCCAGGCCTCAGCTCTGTCCACACCCTCCTTAGGGAGCCAGGTCCCCTCCACCTGGAAATGAGCCAAGTCACACTGAGGAAATGGAACTTTATTTCTATAAATACAGGGGTAACACCCATTCAAGGGAAGTTAAAAGAGGGCCTGGGGCCTCAAAGAAACTAGGCTCCCAGGGGTTACTCCAACACTGATCATAGGGACTGGGGGATCCCCAAACCTGAGATGGGCCTCACAGGCCACAGATATTCCCCAACACTGACACTTCAGGAACGGAACTGTCCCCATAGGGGAGCCTCAGAACCCCACTCTCATGGGTAGTCCCTCTTAGGGGTTGGGAGGGCTGATGACAGAGGACTTCAGAGAAAAAAGGGAATATGGGAAGAATAGAAGCTAAAAATGTCCTGAGTGGCCTGGAAGGAGACCCCTGTGGTAGGCAGGGGGTGGGTTCTCCTCCCGTACAGCCAGATACGGAGAAGCAGCAGCAGCAAAAGCAGCCACAAGTTAAAAACATGGTTTCTCACTTCCCAACTTCGACCTTGAGAGAAAGGGAGAGCATGGAGCAACCCCCCAAATGAGAGGACATGAGGTAGGGGAGGCCAGAACTTGTCATTCACAGAGGAGCAGAGGAGAGGGCTTCTGGGAGTCCAGGTTGGTGGGGGTAGTGTGGAGCAATGAGGTGGTCACAGGCACACCAGAGCCTGGCATCTGCTTTCCAAGGCCACCACTTGGTCTCTGGACTAGGGATTTCCTGGGGACCCCTGAATATATCCTCAGGAGAGCCAAGGTTCAATGCAGGTCTCATAAAGGGTACGATTGGAGTGCCAGGCTGTGTGGGAAATCCCGGCCATTGGACACCTCACTATGGCCCCCCGGGCCAATAGAGTCTTCAACCCAAAAGAATCTCGCAGATAAACCTTCAAGGTGGTCGAAGGGGCGTGGAAGCATGGAAGAGAGACACAAGGAGAGACAAAGTGAGTTACTGCCGGCATGTAAACCTCCTCCCCACAGGGTAAACCCTTCAGCTCAGGAGTCACAGAGAGGGCTCCAGAATGAGGCGGGACAGTGGATGGAAGGGAAAGTAATCCCGGGGGGGGCTCACCAGTTGCTCCTCCATCTCCAAGACCGTCTCATTTGCATCATAGAAACCAAAGAAGCTACAAAGAGATTTGGGGGAAGGTTATCAGGAGAGCTGGAGAAAATCGCTGGGCACAATGGTTCATGCCTGTAATCCCAGCACTTTGGGAGGCCAACGCGGGTAGATCACCTGAGGGCAGGAGTACACCAGCCTGGCCAACATGGTGAAACCCCATCTCTACTAAAAATACAAAATTATCCAGGCGTGGTCACAGGTGCCTGTAATCCCAGCTACTCCAAAGGCTGAGGCAGGAGAATCGCTTGAACCTGGAAGATAGAGGTTGCAATGAGCCAGGATCGCGCCACTGCACTCTTGCCTGGGTG